AATTATAATAGATTCATAAATTGGATAAAGAACCTCAAGGTAAGTACAGCGGTAAAACCATAAAGCAGTATTCTAAAAAACCTCAGCAGAGAAGAAACAGACCATTGACTTTAGTTTCAAGGGCCCACCAGAACAAACTTATGTTTAAAGTGTGCTGGAATGGCAAATGCAAGGAGGCCTGCAGGGGGCAGGATGTTGCACAGCCTGGGTGCAACAACTGGAAAAGTCCTCTCATGATCTCGTGTCTGATAAAGTGTGCTACAGCAGGCAGCCATAGAGGAGGAGGCAGCTCTCCAAGGGCTTTGGTCCCAAGCTATTTGGGGCTTTACAGCTCAGAAACCACACTGAATTGGGACAGAACCAAACTGTAAGCCAGTGCAGATAGACCCACTTGGTCAGCCATGTTGGTCTGAAGCAGTAGAACAAATTTAGAGTCCAATGGCACCTTTAAGACCAACAAAGGTTTATTCAAGGGATGAGCTTTCGTGTGCACGCACACTTTATCAAATACACTGGAATGGCAGTCAAGGTTCAAACGTATAGCCAGAGAATGAACAGCAAATTAACATGCAACATGATGAAGATTAAGAAATGCAAAGTGACACTAAATAACAAGTTAAGGTTATAAGGTCAACAGCTGTAAAGCAGTAAATACATCAAACAAGCAGATAAATGTCTAAAGGTGTCTTTTCTAACTGTGGGAAGTGTCCGGGAATCTTCATTCTCTCCTGTCAGGCATGGAGGGCTCTCAGCACTACATCCACCTCCAAAAAATGCTGTTATGTCAGCAGACATCCTAATATCCCTTGCATACATTCAGTATTCTAATACACTGTTCTGAAAAAGAAATAGACTAAAATACATTAAAATACAGAGGATTTATAGTCCTTCTTGTTGAGAATACATATGAGGATTCAGGGGCAGAAAATCAGCACTAGAACATAGCATCAGGGCCTTGATCTCTATTCCCTATTCATTGGCCCTCCAGGGCAACTGGTTGACCCCTGCATAAAACACGATGCCAGACTAGATGGACCACTGGTCTGAGCCAGCAGAGGTCTTCTTATGTAGGAATGGGTGTGACTGATCGGCCTAAAATGGTAAAACGGTTATGGACTGTTTTGGATTGCTAGCTATTGGGGGGGAGGGGATGTGCAGATCTGTCCTCGCAGAAAAGGGAGAGCTTGTACCTAAATAAAACTTGGTCTTAAAGGTGCCACTGGACTGTTTTTTGGGGGGGGCTCCGCAGCTTACCTGGCTTCTTCTTGCTCTGATTGAGGGCTGCTGGGAGCAGGGGGTGGGGCTTGTTGCATGTGCCCGCCCCCTGGTCTCTTTACTGCCGGAGCTCCGCTCCTGTGCGCTCCTGCAGGAAATGACCCCTGCCTTTAGTCACACAGTGAAGATCCTTGGGCTGTGGACTCAGCTGCTCCCATAGCAGTGTTGTTGTTTTTTAGTATCTGGACTGCCAAATCTCCAAAGGCCAATTAGAAGTCCTGCTAGGCAAGAGGCCAGTCTGGCCCCGCCCACTTTCTAAAAACACTTGGTGGATGCTGGGAAAGGGGTCTGTGAGCACCATATTGGGGACCTCTGGTGTAAATTTCAAGTGTGTCTTACTTTTCATAGGAAATAATGACTGCTGGGGGTGTGTGTGTATATAAGTATGAAAGATCATGTTCCTCTCATAGCAGTTGCACGGTTGAGAGTTCGATGAGTAACCTTAGAGGTTAAAAAAAAAAATTAAACCCCCCGGCATTCTGCTTCCTCCGTCACCACAGAGTGACTGTCCCGAAAACTCCATGATTAAATAAGGTCTTGAACTACCATTCTCCTAACTGAGAAATCCACCATTCCTAGGAGTACAGTTTGAAAGCCGCTGGAACAAACATTTGTTGAGATTTCTGTCTTCAGGCTTCTCTGTACCTGCCCCCCCCTAATTTATTTATTTCATTCAATTTCTTTTCTTTCTTTTTTTAACTGCCTCAAAGAGGCAGAATTTTATTAAGGTTTTTCAAATATATAACATATATACACATATAGTACACACACTAACATATTGACATATACACACATTACACACATATGTATACTGGGGTTGTTTACGTTTTTTAACAGATACTTATATTACTGCCTTGAGCTGTGGTGGCTCAAGTGGTTAAGACGCTGAACTACAGGCTGTGGAAGGTCAGTAGTTCAGCAGTTCGAGACCCGGGTGCCACATGATGGAATGAGCTCCCGTCTGTAGTTCCAGCTCCTGCCAACCTAGCAGTTCGAAAGCAAGAAATTGCAAGTAGATAAATAGGTACCACTTCAGTGGGAAGGTAACAGCATTCCGTGCGCCTTGGTGTTTAGTCATGCCAGCCACATGACCACGGAAACGTCTTCGGACAGCGCTGGCTCTTCGGCTTGGAAACGGAGATGAGCACCGCAACCCTAGAGTCGGATTCGACTGGCTTTCGAGCAAGGGAACCTTTACCTTTATGTTACTGCCTTAATCTAATATTCTTGTAACCTGTGTAAGTAACCATCTATCTCTATCAATCTAAGTATATATTTCATTTCTGTCCATTCTTAACTTGCCTACATATACTTATCATACCAGTTATAGAACCGTACCCAAGTATTCTGAAATATAGAGTCCGTTGCACCTTTTATCAATAGAGTCAGTTCGTCCAGTTCTGCAGCACCTAGTACTTTGTTTATAAGTTCTCGCTTAGTTGGTTCAGTTTCTTAACCGCCGTGCCCCGCTTATGCGGGGCTCAGGGCGGTTTGCAACAGTACAATTTTGAAACCAGTTAAAACTACAAAATTCCACATTAAAACATTCAGCATAAGTATTTAAACACTTTAACAAGATGGCGTATTTCGCATACAGACTTTTAGCATTCAGATTTTCATAAGGGGGGGGGGGTGCCGGGCAGATGTAAGGGAACGGTCGCTGGCCTCAACCGAGGCTCCCTCTAAGCTGTGGAGTCTCATGAGCAAAAATTCTACATTGTGAGCTACTGGCATTAAAGTTGTGAGCAAACGTTTTGGATACTACATCAATTAGTTTGCTCCGGAGCCATCCTTCTTGAACTAAGACAAAAACGTGTGAGCCGGGGGCTAAAAAACTGTGAGCTAGCTCACACTAACTCAGCTTAGAGGGAACACTGGCCTCAACCATACGCCTGGTGGAACATCTCTGCCTTGCATAAAATGGAAAGCTGGTTACAGCTTGTGTAATTGTGATGTCCTCATCCCCTTTTAGACTCCAGGGAAATTTGGATGGTCTATAGAGGAACTTGCTGTAATAAACCCGGTGGAAATCGACTCTGAAGACATACGCCGGCAGGCCTTATATTTAAGCCGTGCCAGGTCAGTTGGTTTCTGCGGCGTGAGGTAAACGTTGCAACGGGACGTGAAAACCGTCTTTCTTCTACTGCAGTGAACCAACGGCTTTGTTTGTTTGTTCGTTCCCACTTCACAGGGTTGATAAAGAGGCAGAAGAGAAGAGACAGAAAGCCATCGAAGAGGTAACTTTTCTTTCTGAGGTTCTTGGCTTAGATGGTGTAATGTTATACAGGGTAAAGTAAATGACAGTGGAGCCTATATAACTGGAACATAACCTTAAAATGTGGAGTTTTAACTATGAAAGTCTGGGTTACCTCATGGTGAACAGGTTTCTAGACTGTGTCACAGACTGCAGGTAGAGGGAGTAACTGATGACGTGCACCCCAATGTGTTAAAAAAAAATCCCTATATGGAAAAACAGCTGCAAGGATGAAGAGGAGAAGATTGGATTTATAGGCCGCCCTTCACTACCCAAAGGTGTCTCAGAGAGCAGCTTACAATCTCCTTTCCCTTCCTCTCCCCACAACAGACACCCTGTGAGGTAGGTGGGGCTGAGAGAGCTCTCTTCAGAAGTGTCCTTGAGAGAACAGCTCTGGAAGAACTTATGACTGATCCAAGGTCACACCAGCAGGTGTATGTGGAGGGGTGGGGAATCAAGCCCGGATTCTCCCAGATTAGAGTCCACGCTCTTAACCACTACACCAAACTGAAGAGTTCTACCTTGTATTACTTTCAGCCAATAATGGTTGTATTATGTGTGTGTTACTTGGGGAGTATTCAAACATGGCCTTTGGTGTTACAGTCCAAAAATGCTTTACCACATGATGTTTGTCTAGGCTAGGACTGCTAAATCCCCCCCAGCATGCGGGGGATTGCTCCCCCCTGGTACCGGCCACCTGGCCGGTGGGGAGAGTTACCACCCCCAATGTGACTTCCCTATGTCATCAGAAAGTGACGTAGGCACGTCGGTGACGTTGGGGGGGCGATGCTCTGGTTTGGGGGCAAAACTCTATGGCGGAATTAACACTTGTGCAAACTGGGGCGTTTAAGGAAAAAGTTTTACTCAGGATTATTTTTTTGGACTAATCTGGAGTACTGGAAAATGCTGTGATCAAATCAGTAACCGAAAGGGTTTCACTTAGAATGGATGCCTATAATGTTTCTTAGCCGAATGTACTGTTAAGGGTGTACTCGTATCTAAACTTTCCTTTCAGTTCTTCACCAAAAGGCTCATTGTCCCTTCGCCTTGGATTGATCACAACAGGAAGCAGGATTCTCCGTTTAACTCAACTCGGTGTAAGTGTGTTTGCCTTCTGTGATGAAACTGGCCACAGTTGCTCCTCTACCACCCCTTCTGACGGGCTGCCCTTTTCAGCTGACCCGGTCTTGCTAGTTTCAGTGGGACCAGATCATCTTAAGAGGTTGGTGGATTGCAGTGCAACACTTGTGCAGCTTGTGGCGTACTCCTCTGAGGTGAAGTGGTGTTTGGCATACAAAGCAGTTTTGAACTCGATATTCTGAAGATGTCACTTCTTTTGTTCATGAGGTTATGCTGTTTGTAATATTCAGAGGAGGTATGTGCCCCAAAAAAGGTATTTTACTGGTTTGGATATACCAAACCTGGAATATATCAGCATATATATTCATACCGATATTGGGATTCGGGAAATAATCAGTAAATTCGGCAAAGCTCCCTTTGCATGGCAAGAATACTGATAAGGTATTTTGGGGTATTTATTCAGCTCGGTATATACCGAGCGTACACCCCTAATTCAGAGCTTTGAGTTGCTGGGTTGAGGGAAAACAACCAGCCCAAGATTATCTGCTGAGCTTCCAGGTGCCTCCAGGTGACCAACCGGGGAAGCTCTACCGAAGCGGATTCTCTTTCATCTAGGCAGGGGTCATTTCGTAGAAAAAGAGCTAGGGGAACTCATTAGCATAACTCATTAGCATATGTCACACCCCCTGACATCAGGGGCCCGGCGGTGGACCTGCAAGGCCAGCAGGAGTGCAAGGAGGCCATGCCAAGGCCCTCCCTGGCCCCAGGCAGGCAGGGGTGGGGAGAGGCAGGGAGGAAGCAACTTACCCTCCCTCTTCTCCTGCCTCCTCCTGGCTGAATGAGGGCTGGAAGTGGGGCGGCTGGAAGCAGGGGCGGGGCTTAGTCATGTGCCCCACCCCCCTGCACCTCACCCGGGGGAACTGCGTTCCCCCGCGTTCCCCCCCGAAATGACCTCTGCATCTAGGCCACAAATGACTGACATGGCCTCATGTGGGCGAGCAAGTGAGTAAGACTCATACAGAACAATCCTCTGCAGAGTTACTCAGGCAAACTCTGCACAGGACTGCACTGTGAGTAAGGTAAAAAAAACCCTTGAGGGTCCATTTTCAAACCTGATGGGGAATGTACTTCCCTTCCTTTCCAAATGTACTTTATGAGGTGTTTTCAAAGGAGGGCTTTTCTTTAATAAATGTGTTTATTTTGATATGTTACCCAATGGGGTCATCTTAATATGTTGCAGGTATTGAAGTAATCAGCGCTTCACCGGTTGGCAGAGAAGTCGCTGGGCATCTCGGGAAAACCAATGGTTGGTATGAGACGAGAGAGGAAAATGTGCCTAGCGGTCTAGGTTTTTGATTGTTAACAAAGAAAGTGCTCCCCAAAGTTAATACTCTTCTACTTAGGAGTGGGGTAGTAAAGCTGTTTTTGTAGGGGGGGGGGGGAGAGTTCTACCCTAGCGCCCTATGCATTTCCCCCCGCCCCTGGAGTTATTTCCTCCCGCCCCTGGAGTTATTTCCTCCCTTGTTTTTAGGGAAGTGTTCAGCCAAGTGATCCTTCGAGAGCCAGTTTGCTGTAGTGGTTAAGTGCGTGGACTCTAATCTGGGAGAACCGGGTTTGATTCTCCACTTGCACCTGGCTGGATGACCTTGGGCAAGCCGTAGTTCTGTCAGAGCTGTTCTTGAAAAAAGAGCAGTTTCTGTCAGAGCTCTCTCAGCCCCACCCACCTCATAGGGTGTCTGTTGTGGGGAGGGGAAGGGAAAGGAGTTTGTAAGCCGCTCCGAGACTCCTTTGGGTAGTGAAGGGCAGGGTATAAATCCAATCTCCTCTTCTTCCTCCTTCACCAGCAGCATTCAGAAGTGCTGTAGCTCAAGGCCACGGCTGCTGCCCCTCTTATCTGCTGTGCTGCAGTTGTTGGCCCCAGCGGCTCCCAGCGAGGCTCTTGTTCACTTGACACTGAGCGTTATCCCTAATAGCCCAGACAAGCCCGATCTCATCACAGCTCGGAAGCTAAGCAGGGTCAGTCCTTGGATAGGAGACCACCGAGGAAGACCGTGGCTGCTATGCAGAGGAAGGTGACGGCAGACCACCCTCTGCTCATCTCTTGTCTTGAAAACCCTGTGTCGTGCTACTCCCTGGTGTTGCCATGTATCAGTTGTAACCAGGGGTCATTTCCTGCGGGAGCGCACGGGAGCGGAGCTCCGGCAGTAAAGAGACCAGGGGGCGGGCACTTGCAACAAGCCCCACCCCCTGCTCCCAGCAGCCCTCAGTCAGAGCAAGAAGCAGCCAGGTAAGCTGCAGAGGGCCCCCCCCCCGGTCCAAAACAGTCCAGTGGCACCTTCAAGACCAAGTTTTATTCAGGTACAAGCTCTCCCTCCTCTGCGAGGACAGATCTGCACGTCCCCCCCCCCCCCAATAGCTAGCAATCCAAAACGGTCCCGTGGAGCCTGAGCGGTGGGTGTTGCCTTCTGACACACTTCTGGTGATGTCAGGGGGGGTGGCATATGCAAATGAGTTACGCTAATGAGCTCCTGCACCTCTTTTTCTACGAAATGACCCCTGGTTGTAACTCGGAAACACACTTTAGGTTTTTATGGGAGGTGCTTTATCTGGCAGTGAGGGGAGCAGCTCAGTTTGGACATGTTTGTTCTAATTTCTCTGCCATGCGACTATAGGAGGGCACAGGAACATCTGTTTCCTGGGGGGGGGGCTTTAGAGCTGTCCCTTTCTGGGTTGAGTGTGTGGGGGATTTATGGGTGGTCTCGTATACCTCCTGAGCTCTGTACCATCCTATATGACTGAAGAACTCTCAGTGTCTACATTCCTTCATATCCTTAGCAAAGATAGGTATCCTGCAAAAGTTTGCCACGCACTGTGTGTGTGCTCTTCGTAAAGTATGAGCTTGGGGAGGGAATGTAACTCGGTTTTCCCGCTTACGACTCTCACTGGGCTTCTTGTTCCTTTAGGTTCTGTAGCAGCCAGCATCTCATGTAGTATCGGCGTCGTAACCAGGGGTCATTGCATAGAAAAAGAGGTGCAGGGGCTCATTAGCATAACTTATTAGCATATCTTATTAGCATATGTCACACCCTGTGACGTCCCCGGAAGTGTGTCAGAAGGCAACACCCACCGCTCAAACTCCTCTGGACTGTTTTGGATCGCTAGCTATTGGGGGGGGGGAACGTGCAGATCTTCCCTCGCAGAGGAGGGAGAGCTTGTACCTGAATAAAACTTGGTCTTAAAGGTGCCACTGGACTGTTTTGGACAGGGGGCGGGGGGGGGGGGCTCTAAACTTCCTTGGCTGCTTCTTGCTTTGACTGGGGGCTGCTGGGAGCAGGGGGTGGGGCTTGTTGCATGTGCCCACCCCCTGGGTTCTTTTTTTTCTTTTGGCCCCCCGGAGGGGATTTTTTTAATTGCATTTTTAATTGGACTACAAACTACAACGGAAATAGGGGAAGGGAACTACAGTTAAGGAGAAAGAAAAGATAACCACTACTAACTAAAACCCTAAAGGTAAAGGTTCCCTTGCTCGAAAGCCAGTCAAATCCGACTCTAGGGTTGCGGTGCTCATCTCCGCTTCAAAGCCGAAGAGCCAGCGCTGTCCGAAGCCATTTCCGTGGTCATGTGCCCGGCATGACTAAACACCAAGGTGCACGGAACGCTGTTACCTTCCCACTGAAGTGGTACCTATTTATCTACTTGCAATTTCTTGCTTTCGAACTGCTAGGTTGGCAGGAGCTGGAACTAGAGACAGGAGCTCATTCCAAGAGTAAAACCCCAAGAGTAGGAGATCATTAAAACAGCTTGAATACCAGATCTTTCTTTAAATCGCTAATATCTTTTGAACTTAGACATGCTAAAATATCTTTTAAATCTTAGATTTAACTGTTAGAGAGAAACCCCAGAGTATCTCATTATTAAAAGCTATACTTCCCCTGGGCTCTTTACTGCCGGAGCTCTGCTCCTGTGCACTCCTGCAGGAGATGACCCCCGATCGTAACCAGCTCAGAACTGTGTGATTTCCTTTCTCCCTTAACGTTATGTTTGTTCATTACAGCTGCTTGCCAGACAGTATTATCTCTGCCAGTAGATTTTGACTTGGAAAAAATATTAGGTACGTAACACGAAAGGATGAGTTTCTCTACTGAATTCCTGGCTATGGTGGGAGTGCACAGAAGGGCGTTACAAGGCTGCCTTACACGGAGGGCCAAGCTAGATCTCACCGTGCCCCTGAGGCTGCCATGAGGATGTGGTGCCATTTGAAAGCTTGTTTTTGAACTTTTCAAGATGCTACCAGGGCCCAATCCTGCTGTGGACCCGTGGCTCAGTGGGATGGGGGGCACATTCCTCTTCTTCCCCCCCCCCTTTTTCCGGAGCCCTGAGTCAGACTATTGGTCAGTTAAAGTTTGTATTGCCTACCCTGTCTAGAGATGTGAAACCCTGGAAATATACAAGCGCAAACACTCTCCCCCTCCCCCCCCCATCTTCTTTTGAAATTAGTGAAACGCTTTTAAGACAGTCTTCTATTCAAGACGTATAGCATGAAAAGTCTGCAGAATTATGGTTTTTTTCGTTTTTCCTGGGGGGGGGGAGGGATATTTGGGGAGCACTGAAAAACAAACTGTGAAATACATTTTTTCTTTTGAAATGAGTGAAATATGCTGATAGCATAGAATACAGGAGTTTGCAGCTCCCTCTTGCTTTCATATTGGTTATATTGGCAATTTTGCAGGTAGAAAACGAAGGCATTTCTATTTTTAAATTCCATAAGTATGCCACATGATACACTTTTAAATGCTAAATAAGTTACAAAATGATGTATTTGATGTTGCTAAAACAGCAAAATAGGTTTAGGTTTGATGGGAAATACAAAATATTTGGTTAGCTTCCCCAGGGAAAAAGTGTGTTGTTTTTCCCCCCTTGGCTTCAAAATCTCCAGAACTCTTACAGATCAAACACTGACTGGCAACAGCTTTCCAGGGTCTCAGGCAGAGAACATAAGAAGAGCCCTGCTGGATCAAACCCATCTAGTCCCACATCCTGTCTCATACAGCGGCCAGCCAGTTCCTCTGGAGGGCCAACATCAGGGCATAGAGGCTGAGGCCTTTCTCGGTTAAGCGCGCAGACTCTAATCTGGGAGAACCGGGTTTGATTCCCCACTCCTCCACTTGCACCTGGCTGGATGACCTTGGGCAAGCCGTAGTCCTGATAAGAGCTGTTCTTGAAAAAAGAGCAGTTTCTGTCAGAGCTCTCTCAGCCCCACCTACTTCACAGGGTGTCTGTTGTGGGGAGGGGAAGGGAAAGGAGTTTGTAAGCCGCTATGAGACACCTTTGGGTAGTGGAGGGTGGGGTATAAATCCAATCTCCTCTTCTTCTTCTTCTTCTCCTCTGAGGTCATCTCCTGGCACTGGGATTCAGAAGATTAGTGCCTCCAAATGTGGAGGTTCCCCTCAGGCTCCATGACTAGTAGCCATTGATAGACTTATCCTCCATGAATTTATCCAATTCCCTTTTTAAGCTGTTTATTCCTGTGGCCATCGCTACGTCTTCTGGCAGCGAGAATTCCACGTTTTAATCACTCTCTGTGTAAAGTAGCATTTCCTTTTGTCCATCCTGGGTCTTTATCCTTCTAACAGGAGGCGCTGGGGGTTGAACTTGGGGCCTTCTGCATGCCAAGAAGATGCTCTGCCACTGAGCCACAGCCCCATCATAATCGGTTGAGGGTGGTGGAGCTAGTGTTATCTGGAGTCCATGGGCCTGTTTGAATGACCCAAAAGTGCTTTTTGTATCTGATCCCAGAGATTTTTCCAAGAAACCTGTAAAGAACGTCAAGCAACTTTATCCTCTTCACACAGGACAGATGCCGGTCTTGCGCTGTGAAAAATAGCGGGCTGCAACACCATTATGTAGAAGCAGGGGGAAATATTTGCTTGATGCGGCTCTGCTAAACCTGTGTCTGGCTTTGTAAACAGCCTTTTACTTGTGTTTGTCGGGGGAAAGTCTCCCTTTTATTTGAATGCACGCAGATCCCTTGACGCTTGTGATTTCCCCCGCTCTGGTTTAGGTGCTTATTTTAAACCAGATGAATCGGCAGATCAGTCTCAGGAAAGCCTGAGTACGTCCTCGCTGAGAAGAAAGCTGTTTCTAGATGAGAACGGAAGTCTGTCAGAGAGTCTGTCCCCTTCGCCTCAAAGCCCGCACAGCATTCCGGCCTCGCTCGGAGGCCTGTGTTCCACAGACATCTCCCCAGTCCGCTGCAGAAGCCCTCTGAATACACCGAGTTCGGTAAGCAGCTTGCTTTGGGAGCAGTGGGCATGGGTGCTGGTGAAGCACATCTGGCAGTATGGATGATTGCTCTGTGGCCCTGTTGGGGGGGGGCGTGCATTTTCTGGGGGGAGTTCAGTAGGCTTTATGAAGAAGAAGAGAAGAAGAGATTGAATTTATACCCCGCCCTTCACTACCCAAAGGTGTCTCAGAGTGGCTTACAAACTCCTTTTCCTTCCCCTCCCCACAACAGACACCCTGTGAGGTAGGTGGGGCTGAGAGAGCTCTTGAAATAAACTGCTCTTTTTCAAGGACAGCTCTTATCAGAGCTATGGCTTGCCCAAGGTCATCCAGCCAGGTGCAAGTGGAGGAGTGGGGAATCAAACCCGGTTCTCCCAGATTAGAGTCCGCGCACTTAAGCACTACACCCGACTGGTAACCACTACTCCAAACTTTATGAAGGTGAGGGGGGGGGTTCCTCTTTCACCTGAACTGTCTGATTTCTGTGACCTGTTTACTGTTTCAAGGTCATGGCCAAAGGAAGCACAAACATCCAGAGATTTGTTGGGTGTTTGGTGTAGTGGCTAAGTGTGCGAAATCTAATCTGGGAGAACCGGGTTTGATTCCCCACTCCTCCACTTGCACCTACTGATGTGACCTTGGGTCAGTCACAAGCTCTGGCACAGCTGTCCTTGAAAAAGAGCAGTTTGTGTCAGAGCTCTCTCAGCCCCACCCACCTCACAGGGTGTCTGTTGTGGGGAGGGGAAGGGAAAGGAGATTGTAAGACACTCTGAGACTCCAAGTGAAGGGCGGGGTATAAATCCAGTCTCCTCCTCCCCCTCCCCCTCCTCCTCCTCCTCCTCCTTCCTCTAAGCTGAGTACGTGTGAGCTAGCTCACAGTTTTGTAGCCTCCGGCTCACACATTTTTGTCTTAGCTCAGGAAGGATGGCTCCAGAGCAAACTAATTTATACAGTAGCCAAATTGCTTGCTCACAACTTTAATGCCAGTAGCTCACAAAGTAGAATTTTTGCTCACAAGACTCCACAGCTTAGAGGGAACATTGGCTGGAATGTGCGTTAAAGAAATGTAATTGGTAAACGTAGTAAATGTTGATGAACACATAGTGAATAAGCCGTGAGTAAGTCACAGGGTAACTGGAGATGGAGGATGATGCTATATAACGCATGGTGCATCTGTTAGAATTTTGAAGAACTTACTTTCAGTGTCTGGGTAAGGATCCCTCTGTAGTTCAAACTACCGAAATAAATTCTTTTCCGCTAAAGTCCACTAACTCTATTTGAATCTCTTGTGGGACCATTGAGAATTTCCCCATCATAGGAAACAGGGTATTTTGGTCTCTGTCAGAATTCCCAGTCCTGATCACCGCGGGCCCTGTCACTCGATTCTTCTGCCCACGGAATCCTCTCTCCCCTCCCTTTCTTGCCTCCCGTTGCCTTGTGCCTATTGCACATTTCTCTTCATGCGCCGCTTAAGAGTGTCACATTCTGGGGTTGCAGGAAACTTGGGCTAGGATTCTATGGATTTGTTTGACTGTCCGTAGTGCCTTCCCCCAACACAAGAGGCTTTTCGGCTAGCGGAACGCCACGGCATTCTATCAGGTGCTTCCGGTTCTGCATAAATTGAAGCGAGAGGCATTACCCAAACAATGTTGAATTAGACTCGGAACAGAAATCGAGCCTTTCTAGGCTTGCAGGGCTTTGGCAGTCCCTGGAGAAGAACTGATGAAGCTGTGTCAGATATGAGTATACCCTTGCGCTTAACGTTTAACAGTGGCTCTCCTTGTATCTCTTGAAAGGGCCAATTTTCTTCCAGCCCCGTGCAGGGCGGGATGAGGACACACAGCCTGGGAAGCCTAAGCACTCCCCCCTTTCCTGAGAGGAGTCCCGCGAACATCATTTCTCCAACCATTTCTCCGATTGGCATTCAAATAAGAAAGACGCCACTGTCAGGTACGCAACTGAAGCGCGTTGGGCTGAAACAGGTCGAGAGTCCTGTTCCTTTTTTTTAATTATTAAATACTTTTTGCTTCTTGTGATGCTTGGTGCTTATATTATTAAGATGCTGTTTTGATGGCCTTCACCCCCTTTTTGTTGTTTTGGGGCCACTGCTGAAAGCTGAGATCCTTGGCCCCATTTCCTATACTCCTTCCACCTTGCTCTGTGCTCTTCTGGCGTTGCCACACATGCACAACCCTGTTTGTTTGCAGTCTTTTTTCAGAAAAGCTGCCTGTAGGTTTGCAGTTTCTTTCCTTAGTTTGGGTACCGTAAAGCCTGAAATCAAGACACGGTTCCTTTTGTCTTGCTGTTCTACAAGTGAAAATATTTGCACGACTCGTGTGTGTGTGTTTGTGCATGCAACTCTTGTTTAGGGAAACCTATTCTGGCGCATCTCAGACGGATGATTAGATATATTCTGTGCGTTCCACCCCCCACCCCCCGCTTTCTCCTAAATACAGCACGGTTTACTTTTCGTTCGCCGGACATTCCTTCTATGCCGAACTCTCGCCGCCTGACTCCTCCTCCCACCAGAAGTTCCTTTGTGGAGTGTTCGCCACTGAAAAATTGTTCCCCCATGAGACGAATGGCTTCCCGAGGCACCGCGGTGTACCAGACCTCCTTTGTCCACCTGCCCTCCACCCCCGAGAGTTTCGACGAAGAGCAGGAAGAGGAAGCGAAGGGCACGTCCCTGGAAACTTCCCTTCCGAAAGTCCGTCTGCGCCCGCTGAGCGGGGACCCCTTTGCTCACGGTCAACATCTGGTGGTTGCGAAGGTGTCCATATCGCCAGACCATCCCAGAACTCATGTCCCCTGCGATCTCGATAGCTTGAACGAAAACTGCACGGTGGACATGGCAGATGCAGAAGAAGTGCCGGTCGTCAGCTCGGTGAAGGGGTTGGCGGAGAACAGCTGCCTGCCGGTGGCTGGCTGGAGCATAGAAGGCTCTTGCATGTGCCTCTCGCCGCTTGCTGAAAGCAGTGCCAGTCCCTGCGAGGGCAGCAGCATCCAGGTAAGGCTCCAGTTTTAGCGATACGCCAACCTGGCGCGGGCCCATGTCTGCGTGGGAAGGACTGCTCCATCAGCCAGGAGTTGCCCTTGTGTCCATCAATGGCAATTACCCACCATAGTTCAATGGAGCCTCCGTAGGACTTCACATACTGAGAGGGACCATAGCTCAGGGGTAGGGCATCAGCTTGGCATGCAGAAGGTCCCAGGTTCCATCCTTGGCATCCCCAGCTAAAAAGGGACCAGGCAGGAGGTGATGTGAATGACTTCTCCCCGAGACCTTAGAGAGCTGCTGCCAGTCTGAGTAGACAATGTTGACCTCGATGGACATGGGTTGGCTCTGGTCTGATCCGAGCCAAGCTATTCTTGGGTTCCTTTGTGAGATGCCACAGCGCTCAGGGGAGACCGTTGTTGTCTTGAGCTGGCCGTGTGGTTTTTCTGAATGAGGTTCTTCCTTACCCCCAGGAGACTAGGCTAGGTGGTTTCTTTGATGAATCTTCTGGGGGATTCCGTTCTGGCCAAGGCTTGGTTAGCTAAAGCATCATTGCAGAGACCGTGTGCCACGAGGCCAGAGTGTCAGCCTAGGGGCGAGGAGACCATAGTTCAGAACTCTGTGCTGCCATGAAGACTGGTTGGAGGAGTCGCACACTGGCCCTACCTCACATGCTTTTTCAGCCCTGGCCTGGTGGAACGCTCTGCCGGAGAACGTCCATGCCCCACGGGCAGTGTTCCCTCTAAGCTGAGTTAAGTGTGAGCTAGCTCACAGGCTTCTAGCCTCCGGCTCACACGTTTTTGTCTCAGCCCAGGAAGGATGTGCTCCAGAGCAAACCTTATGCAGTAGCCAAACCACCTGCTCACAACTTTAATGCCAGTAGCTCAGAAAGTAGAATTTTGCTCACAAGACTCCACAGCTTAGAGGGAACATTGCCCATGGGATCTGTTACCTTTCCTTTAATTTTTATTTTTGGCCGTCTTGTGTTCTGTCGTGCGTTGATGTACTGAATTTAATTGTGAGCTGCCTTAGGCCCTGCTTGCAGGGAAGGGCGGCCTAAAAAATGAAATAATAATAATAGATAGGATAAAGGCTTGGATGCACCAGAGTATTCCCATGGATGGGTTTCCACCCACGCAGTGCGATGCGTTTTGGGCAGCGGTGGGAAGCCCGGAAGTCACACACTTTGCGGGCAGAGATCTTTCCACCTGCGGAAAGGCTCTGGTGGATCTGGGTCAAAATGAGGAAGGGGACGCTGTGGATGTAGCTCTGAGATCCTTGGAGGGAGGATGGGATAAAAATGATAGAGAGGACAAAATGGCGGTGTTTTGATGTCCTGCCTCTTTGGTACTTCCCTGCTTTTTCCTCGCCTTCTTCCTGGCGTGGGCAAATAGGATCAAGTGGGAGATGTTTGGTGTAGTGGTTAAGTGCGCGGACTCTAATCTGGGAGGACCGGGTTTGATTCCCCACACCTCCACTTGCACCTGGCTGGATGGCCTTGGGCAAGCCGTACCTCTGATAAGAGCTGTCCGTTTCTGTCAGAGTCTCAGCACCACCTACCTCACAGGGTGTCTGTTGTGGGGAGGGGAAGGGGAAGGAGACTGTAAGCCGCTCTGAGACTCCGAGTTAAGGGCGGGGTATAAATCCAATCTCTTCTTCTTCTTCGAAGAATGTTCCTCCGAGGGTTGAGTAACATTTCAAGTCCTAGAGATCTTGCTACCTCTGCTGTCCCTGAGATGGAGGACGGCCTGCCTCTCTGGGATGAAGGAAGAGAAGGAGCTGCCCAGTATTCCCTGCCCTGATTGGGTGGCTTAGAGATCTCTAGTAGGCCAGTGCCATCCAAAGCAGACCTTCACCTCCCTAAGTCTGTTGACTTCAGTGGACTTAGAAGGCTATAACTGCTTATTATTATTGGTTTAAATGTAAATATGTACATATATATATTACTTGCCTTGGAAGCACAAGAGGCTTTTTCACAGTATCCCCTGATTCTCCATGTTTCCCAGTTAAGGGGGGAAATGCTGTTCAAACAAATTACAAAGATGACCTAACGCCAATGGCAGCAAGAGAAAGAAATATTACTTACAGAAATAGGAGTCCATCTTACATGATGTATTCATGTAGGTACATTTAACTTATTGTGAACCGATTTAACTGCGAAAGGCTAACTTGCCAGAGCTCCAAGTCCAGATAGGAGAGAAGAAGAGGATAGGTCCTATATAAGATGAAACACAGAAGGAAATCAAAGAGTCTCAGCATCCAACTGATGAGAGGGTGGGGGCAAATTGCCAAGTTTACCTGAGTGAGAGAACTCTCTTAACCCTTTCCCTCCCAGATCCACTTGCATGCAGAGTTACAATATCCAACAATTGTTGCACTGTTGTCCACCCACCAAGGGGAAGCTTATGAAGTATTTCTGCTGCCTTATACATTTGTGTGCTACTGTTGTTCTTTCTGGCCACGTGTAATGCAGTATTTCTGTCTTCAAACCACCGTATTGGCAGTTCCCCTGACCTTGCCAATTTCTTCCTGTCAGGTGGACAGTGGTTACAACACCCAGACTTGTACCAGTAGCCTTATGGATACAGCAGGCATAGAGGTCAGTGGTAGGGAGAATGATTCCCACGTTTACGATTCTCAGAGCAAACACAGCGGCGTCAAAACAAAGGTAAGGTTCTGAGGCCTCCTCTGTAAACCTTTAATGGCTCAGGAAGAGCACAGGGTGTGTACTTAGTGGACATTCAGGTTCTCAAGAAACTAAACTCTAAATTTTAAGAAAGCCCAGTTCTGTGAAGATCAAAACTTGGTTTCAGTGGCACCTTAAAGACCAGCCAGATTTCCAGGGTACAGCTTTTGAAAATCAAAGCCTCCTTCGTGGTGTAGTGGTTAAGAGCGGTGGACTATCTGGAGAACAGGGTTTGATTCCCCTCTCCTCCGCATGAAACCAGCTGGGTGACCTTGGGCCGATCAAAGTTCTCTCAGAGCTTTTTCAGCCTCACCTACCTCACAGGGTGCCTGTTGTGGGGAGAGGAAGGGAAGGTGGTTGTAAGCCACTAAGACTCCTTAAGGTAGAGTAAAGCGGGGTATAAAAACCTACTCTTTCATCGTCAGGTATCTGATGAAGGGAGCTTTTGGCTCTTGGAAGCTTAGGCCCTGGAGATCTTGTTGGTGTTCGTGGTGCTACTGAACAAAAACCTTGCTCTTCTACCACAGACCAACACAGCGTCCCACCCGAAGCATTTCTCTGAAGACATGCTTGATTTTCCGGAGCCACAGGGGTGGGGTACATTTTATGGTGGTATGGGAAACATCATTTTGCCTGTTCCTGTTAGTAACAAAACCAAGAGTTAAGTGATGCGAAGTAAAGGTGGGTTAGGCAGAAGTGTTGTGTTTTTGTAGCTCGTTCCAATTTTCACACAGAGCTGGAATTTTGGTGGGGACAGGAAAGAAAATGTCCACTCCGAAGTCTCATGCCAACTTCTGCCAAAATGGCAGATCCAGATCATTTTGAGGCTGCAGGTTTGATTGTTTAAAATGGTGGTCCCCGGCATAGGGCACTTTGGGTGCCACGGTGCCTGCTGACACATTTCGTGGCTCTCGCCAAGCGTTTTTAGAAAGTGGGCAGGGCCCGGTAGGGCTTCTTACCTACAAGGCTTCTGATTGGCTGTTCATTATTTGATTGGCTGTGCCGATTTTTAAAAAGCACTGCTTTGGCAGCATCTACCAGCACAGCACAAGGATATTGACCGTTGACTACAGTTAAGCCGTGGCAGCCATTTTGCGGCAGGCTCCACTTCCTGCGGCAGCCATTTTGCGGCTGTGCCCAGCACACGATGACCAAATTCCAAAAATGCCCGCAGACTCAAAAACATTGTGGGACCCCAGTCTAAAAACCTGAAGTGATGTTTTGAATCTCATGTCACACGGATTTGTACATAATCTATTCATTGTTGGCTATGGGTGGGTTGGATGTTTCTCACGTTTGCATAGTGTCGAGTCTTTGGTTTTATTTATTAGAAGGAAATTAGAATTTATTTATTTTTTACCTCACGTTCTCTTTGCCGGAAGCTTCCGAGACATTTTGTTGAATAGCATCATTAAAACCACATATAACAAGCAAAATGTTATGAAGCAGCTTCTGGTAAAATCACAGCCACAGAGATAAACGAAAGCCTGGGAAGAACAGCAATATTTTCATTTGATGCCAGACAAGTGGCTTGTGGAGGGACTTCTCTACCTTTGTAGAAAAGTGGCTTCTTCCCCACATCTCTGCCAGTGGGGCTCCACAGCCAAAGCTCTTCTGTCAGAAGTCTTGACTGTTATGATGCTTGTGTGGAAAACTGGCCCCTGAATAAGTCCAGCCCTCACATCATTTTGGTGACCCTTGGGTGGCTCTAGAACACCTTTCTGTGGTTGGCCTTCCTAGCTGAATAAGAGTAGCCTGAGCTTGTCAGAGCCTGAAGGCTAAGAAGCGTCAGCCCTGGTTAGTACTTGGATGGGAGCAGTGTTCCCTCTAAGCTGAGTTAGTGTGAGCTAGCTCACAGGTTTCTTAGCCTCCGGCTCACACATTTTTGTCTTAGCTCAGGAAGGACAGCTCCAGAGCAGACTAATTTATGCAGTAGCCAAACCGCTCCCTCACAACTTTTAATGCCAGTCGCTCACAAAGTAGGGTTTTTGCTCACAAGACTCCGCGGCTTAGAAGGGAGCATTGGTTGCTAGGCCACCTAGGAAGTCAAGGGCTGCTATGTAGAGGAAGGCGATGGCCAACCACCTCTATTCCTCTCTTGCCTTGGAAACCCCTTGTTGGGGTGCCACGAGTAGGTCATGCCTTGGCACACTTTTAACAAAGCAGGAAAAAGTCGAACTTCCTAACTCTGCTTCTCCTTATAGATCACAAAACAAGGTCTCCTCCCTAGCTACCTGCAGTTCAGACACCTGCCCCGCCACGTTTGTGTGACTTCCACACTTCTGAGAACTAATCAAGCTAACCCAAATTAGAACCGAGCTAATCCAAATCAGGGGAAGGCAGTATGCAAGTGTAGTCACCAATGCTCTGCCTCTAAGCGGTGGAGTCTAATCCCCTGAACAGCAAAATAATTTTGTATCTGTACGTAATTGGGAGTATGTGTGTATTTTGCTGAGTTCTCTCTTGTGTCTTCAGCAAGGTAAACTTGTCCTGGGATACTGGACTGAACCCGAGCCCGTGAATCACTCCGACTGCCGCCTTGTGGGAAGTCCTCGGTCAAAATGAGTTGTGTGTCGTCGTGCCTTTTGCTGCGATTGCTCACCCTGGACCTGAACCATTGCTCTTGAAAAACCTGTGGAAATCCAGAATTGCTCACTTTGCCATTGGAAGGGTTGCTGTTAAAGCGGATGATGTGAGGAGCTGACTTTTGTCCGAGACCTGCCCTTACAGCTTGGGTTCGATTCAGGGTGTGTGGGCGGGGGGGTGCTCACAGCTGCAAGGTTCAAAACTCCAGCAGTGTTTGTGCAGAGGTTCTGTTTGTGAGAACAGATTGCTGCTGTCTTAGCAACTGCTGTGATTTCTTGCACTTGTGCAGGCTGGGAGATCTGCACCTGTGCGGAAATTGCCGTTCCTGCAAACAACACCCTCCCAAGTACCAGCGAGCATAAGATTCCAAGAGCATTAAGTGTGGAAGTTGTCACTGGTCTGAATGGGGCACCAAAAGATCATGGAACCATACAGTGAAAACAAGAGGGGCTGTTTTGCTAATCTTATTTTCCATAAAAATAGTATTTGTAGTCAACGAATCCATTTGTTGTCTTGATTCTTTTCTGTCGTCATTGGGAGATTGTGCACAAAAGCGTACCTCGACATTTATGACTTCGGTAATACCCATTGTGTTCTAACAATGTGAGTTCTCTTCCTTCTTGGCTTTTTAAATGAAAAATTTACCCTTTTGTCTACGGAAACGTACAGCAATCTACACTTATGCTTGAAACTACCACAGGATATATAGAAAGCATCCCACTTACTTTCTCCGGTGGTCCTGAGAGTGGGGCACACGAATGGATTCATGGTTGCTTTAACTTGATTTACATAATAAAGATTTGTCACATCTGAGTTGAAAATTGTCTCTGTGCAGTACCTCAAAGTTAGAAAATCATTGGTAGAATTGGGAAGATATCAGCGGTGTTGACTTGGGCAGGAAAATTAAGCCCTATGCTTAAGTAGATGAAAGGGACTGGGTCGGCCCTGCTTTATGGGACAACATCCTGAATTGTGAGACAATGACAACTCTGACCCAGATGAGGAAGGGCTCCCTGTTTGCAGATGTCTGGTCCGTGCTTCTGTAACCTTGAGGCTAGACTACTGTAACATATTCTACTTGGGGCAGCCCTTGAAGACAGTCCAGAAACAGCAGCTGGCACACAACGCAGCTGCCCCCACTGTACTTGCTTGTACTCTGAGGTCCCTTCACAGGTTGCTGATTAGTTTCCAGTTCCCATTCAAGACGACGATGCTCCCCTGGAAAGCCCTCCATGACCTGGGGCCCACTTCCTTGAAGAACTTGCCCCTCTCTTTGCCTGCCCCCATACATCAGCTTCATCCTTCCCAGGAAGGTCCTCCTTTCAGGAGCCCCCTTGACCAAGGAACGTTCAGCAACAGTCCAGGGTCAAGCCTTCTCCGAGGCCACTCAGCAGACCTAGAGTCAAGCTATATAGGATCAGAGCACCCACTTTGTTTTTCTTTTGGCTAGTGTCTTGCTGGTGATGAGGACGCTAGAAGATAATTGTGGGTGGTGGTAATCTGAGTGCACATTGCCCACCCTTTGAAAAAGCAGAAAGCCAGATCCATCCTCTTTCCCCGAGAGTCCCTTGCCTACCTTTCTAGAAAACTGAGAAGCCAGCTCCCTGAACTACCCTTGTAGTTCCCAGACCACTTTGAGAAACACTGGGCTATCTACTCCTAATCTACCTTCTGACAGTGACAAATAATTTTTAAAAAGCCCTCAGTGTTAGCTAGCCATCACCTAGATAGGCTAGCCTGATCTCAGAAGCTAAGCACGGTCACAATTTAGATGGTCAGTATTTAGATGGGAGACCACCAAGGAAGTACCGGGGGGGGGGTGCTATGCAAGAAGCAGGCAATGACGAACCATGAAAACCGCGACAGGGTTGTCATAAGTCAGCTGCGACTTGACATCTTTCTCAGAATAACGAATTCAAAAACCTCAGCCAAGAGTTTCCTTTTCATTTTTTCTGGTATGGCAATTTTATACTAATGGTATCATGCAGAGCGTCACCAAAGAGGCATCATCAGTGCTTACTGTATGAAACTGGACTGGGTATCATGCTGTTTGTCCTTGCAAAGAGAGCTGGGATCCTGCATCCAGAAACAGTAATAGCCAACAGTGGCTTTCAATCAAGTACCAGATATTCAGATTTTGTGTGACGCCTTTCAGTAGATATTAACCAACAAACGAGTTTCTTGCTGTGTCCAAGGGAAATCAGTGGGAAATTACCTCACCCCTTCCGTTTGTGGGAATTTCAGTTTGGATCTATGGATTGTTTTAGCCGAAGTCACTGTTCCAGTTTAAGGTGGTCATAGTGGTAACACCACTGCTGTTCCCCTGTATGTGTGCCTTCTGGAGAGGGGAGATGGGAAATTGTAAGAGGAGGTGGATGAAGTAAAGGAAACTGAGGTGCACATACATGTGGTAGAAAAGTAAATCAGAAGCAACTCCCCTGTTGTAGATCGGGGTTAATGGTGGATCCAAGCTCTGAGAAGTGTTGAAAACACGACACACCAAGACTACTAAATACCAGTTGAAGGACAATGCTTTATCAGGAAAATATCTGTTCCGTACATCCAGAGATTTCTAGAACTATCGGCCTTTTGTAAGTGGTGACATTACATACAGATTTAAAAATGACATTTTACCACAAATATTAAAAAAAACATTTAAATAACGTTACAAATCTTTGAAAGTAACCTCTAAAACTGTATAAAATTCCATATACAATTCGTCTCCAATGTAAATTCATTTCGTATTTTGGGTATTGTAGTTGCTTGAAATGAAGCTATTTGCTCAGTTTCTTCTTCTTCTTATGAGGTTCATTCTTACTGCTCACTTCTGTGGCCTGGCCGGGGACATTACCGCCCGATATCTATCGGAAGAAAAGTTTAAGAAGTAGAATTGCGTCAAACTAGTAAGGCCTTTTGGCTGTTCGGATAAATCAAGCCATCTTAACATACTGCAAAACCTCAATGAAACTGCTCTGAGGGGCATCAAAGGGAACAGAAATTGTGAGGCCGCTCTCAGGAGCATCGGTCCTTACTGAAAACAGCTCTCCCTTTGCTCTCACAAGCTCACGATCAACAGAACACGCTGCGGAGCTATGGAAACAAAAGGAGGCTGGATCCTCATCTACAGTCCCCTCCGGGGTCAAAGACGGGTTCTACGGAAACAAAAGGAGGCTGGATCCTCATCTACAGTCCCCTCCAGGGTCAAAGACGGGTTCTACGGAAACAAAAGGAGGCTGGATCCTCATCTACAGTCTCCTCCGGGGTCAAAGACGGGTTCTACAGAAACAAAAGGAGGCTGGATCCTCAGCTACAGTCCCCTCCGGGGTCAAAGACGGGTTTATCCATGAGCCCCTTTTGCTTTTCCCACTGCAAAATAACTTTATTTACAGCCCATGACCAGAATACAAATAAGTAAGAAAAAAATGACCATAGCCTGATAAAATATAAAAATTAAGGTATACAAATATAAAAGTGTATAAAAGTAATTAAAACTAATACTACTACAAATACAGCAGTTTCTAATCTGACTACATAAAAATATAGATACAGAATACAATCAGTGTTCCCTCTAAGCTGAGTTAGTGTGAGCTAGCTCACGGTTATTTAGCCTCCAGCTCACACACTTCTGTCTTTGCTCAGGAAGGATGGCTCCAGAGCAAACTAATTTATGCAGTAGCCAAATCAGCGGCTCACAACTTTAAGGACAGTAGCTCACAGAGTAGAATTTTTGCTCACAAGACTCCACAGCTTAGAAGGATCATTGAATACAATCAGCTACTATCTTCCACATTAATTTGGGAAATGTACATAGAATGCAGTTTAATCGCTTGGGAGCAGAATTGAGCAACCTGCTGGGTGATCTCTGTAACCCCTGCAAAGTGAAGGGTGGCAGTTCATTCCTCTGCACTTGGAAACACAGGAACCAGAACACGGAATCCAAAACACGATCGGATGTTGTTGCCCTTCCTTACATGCCCAGAGTAATGCCGATCCCCACTGTGGGGGACAGGAAGGGATTTTCCTCCCAGCTAGATTTGGCCCTACGGATCCTGGAGGTTTTTTTGCCTCTCTCTGGGCAGAGGGCGGGGGTCACTGGGAAGGTAGTTGTGAATCTGCTGCACTGTGCAGGTGGGGGTGGACTAGGGGACCCATGAGGGTCCTCCAGCTCTGTGTTTCTAACCTTGACATGTTGTAGCCTGCCCCTTCTAACGGGTTTTAAGTTTTGCTGTGCGCAGGAATACCGACACGCCTCCAAGAACACAGTTCCTCCAAAGCAACGGCATTTTCCGGTTGCGGAAGACAGAATACCAACTTCCCGCCATCTCTCCCCTCTTGCTTTGGGTCCTCCTTTTGTCTGCAGGCCGTGGACGCCGTGGCGCCTGCCCGGTGCCTTTAGAAAGGGGCCAGGCGGGGCTTTTGCCCAGCTAGGCCTCTGATTGGCTGTGCAGATTTATGGAAGTGTTGCTTTGGCAGCAGCTGCCACCAGTGTTCCCTCTAAGCTGAGTTAGTGTGAGCTAGCTCACAGTTTTTTAGCCTCCGGCTCACACATTTTTGTCTTAGCTCAGGATGGCTCCAGAGCAAACTAATGTATGCAGTAGCCAAATTGCTTGCTCACAACTTTAATGCCAATAGCTCACAAAGTAGAATTTTTGCTCACAAGACTCCACACCTTAGAGGGAACATTGGCTGCCACTACAGCACAGGGATCCACCGTGTGCAACTGAAGGGAAGCTACAACAGCCATTCGATGGCTGCCTCCGCCTCTGGCAGCAGATGTTTTGTGGTGGCCGTTTTGTGCCCGAGGCTACCACATCGTCTCGGGATCCCAAAGGCGCCTGCAGGCTCAAAAAGGTTGGGGACCCCCCTGTGCTTGAGCCCCCCCGCCCCCCCGAGACAAAATTTGAGCGGGTTGCAAAGTTTCGGTGGGCTGCAGCGGGGAAGTCCCGTTCAATCGACACCACGGATGTTAACAAACCCTCCAGGGGCCCTTCCAGAGTCGGAGCCCTCTCTCCACACACCTCTTGTGGAAACGCCAGATGGCCGTCAATGTCCTTGAACGTATCAGGATGACGCAGCTCCTTCCTGCTCTGCCCGAGGGTCCAGGAGAAACCCCAGGCTACGGGGGAGCAGTTTTGTGCTGGGACTCCTCTGCCCAGGAACTGGGGCGACGCTGACAGAGAGCCCAGCCGAACACGGGCTCTTCACACGTTACGGAAAGGGGACGTTACGTCACGCCTTAGAGAAAGAGGTACTTTTCTCCCTTTCTCACAATACAAGAACTCGTGGGCACTCCATGAAATGGCTGAGCGGTCGGGTTAGAATGGATAAAAGGAAGTCCTTCTTCACCCAAAGACTGATTCACACATGGAGTTCACTGCCACAGGAGGTGGTGGTGGCTACAAGCATGGACGGCTTCAAGAGGGAATTAGATAAACACATGGAGCAGAGGTCCATCAGTGACTATGAGCCACAAGCAGTGTTCCCTCTAAGCCAAGTTAGTGTGAGCTAGCTCACAGTTTTTTAGCCTCCAGCTCACACATTTTTGTCTTAGCTCAAGAAAGATAGCTCCGGAGCAGACTAGTTTATGCAGTAGTCAAATCACTCGCTCACAACTTTAATGCCAGCAGCTCACAAAGTAGAATTTTTGCTCACAAGACTCCACAGCTTAGAGGGAACATTGGCCACAAGGTATAGATAGAAACTCTCAGTTTGGGGCAAGTGATGCTCTGTTTTCTTGGTGCTTTGGTGGGTCAACAGTGGAAGGGCTTCTGGTGTCCTGGCCCCACTGGTGGACCTCCTGATGGCACCTGGTATTTTTGGCCACTGTGTGACAGAGTGTTGGACTGGATGGGCCTTTGGCCTCTTATGTTCTTATGTTATGTTCTTAAGATGTCGGTGGAATGGCACAAGCAAGCCGTTCAGCCTTCCAGTCCGACAAAACACACTCACACAGAGTAATACTTGACCTTGCCGTGTGTCCGACTTTATTCTATTGCAGCTTTGGCCAAACTTGCATAACGTAAGAGCCACACAGAATAAATGTCAGATGTTTGAGAGCCTGCAAGGCATGGGCAGATATTACACGTTTTTACTAGGAAATATGCAAATTTGCTTTTTTATTAACATTAAATGAGACTGCCAAAAATAATAACAAAAGCGGTAAAAGCAGATGTTGACAATGATATTTATTTGTCCAATGATATTTGTCTGCTAATGATATTTAGCTTCCCCAGCGGCCCTGCCAGGAGCCGCACCATACGTGTGAAAGAGCCGCATGCGGCTCCCGAGCCACAGTTTGGCCACCCCTGTTCTACTGTATCAGTTTTACTCTCAAGGCCTTCGGCCAAACGAGCCTATGAATAAAAGGAAAGGCTCCCAACACACTGACCCCTCCAGCACGTGAACAGTTAAGCTGTTTTATTATCTACTGCAGAATTCTTCCTGGGAGAGAACAGGTAATGAACACGCGGGCACTTTAAACCCCCTTAATGTATGGAAAAGACAGTGTTGGCGACTTGCATGAAAAGACAAGCTTGCTTCACTAACATTCTTCTACAAAAGTAAAGCCACCCATACATCTTCCCCCACCCCATCTGAAGAAAGAGGTGCACCTTTAAACTAGAAAGACGCATATAACACCCCACCCAAGTGCTGCAATTTTTACTTACACTTATGTCCTAAACGGACACAACATTTGGGAGCAAGCCTAAATTGGTTGACTCAGAAGTAAGGCCCGTGTTATTCAGTGGTGAAAGTGCCCCTAAGACTGTAGCCTTCGCTCCATTTATCTGTAGCTAAGCTCTAGTTAACGGGGCTGTGGTGGCTCAAGTGGTTAAGACGCTGAGCTGCAGACCGGAAGGTTGGTAGCTCGAGACCCGAGTGTCACATGACAGAGTGAGCTCCCGTCTCTGGTCCCAGCTCCTGCCAACCTAGCAGTTCGAAAGCAAGAAACTGCAAGTCAATAAATAGGTACCGCTTTGGTGGGAAGATAACAGCGTTCCGTGCGCCTCGGCATCTAGTCATGCCGGCCACATGACCACGGAAACGTCTTCGGGCAGCGCTGGCTCTTCGGCTTGGAAACAGAGATGAGCACCGCATCCCTAGTCGGATTCAACCGGCTTTCGAGCACCTTTACCTTAGCTCTACTTAAATAGTTACGCAGAACATCCTTGTCTTCCTCATGCCATCTACAGTGCTTTTCTTTCCCACGCAGGCAGCCTTACCTTTGGTTCCACAAGGGCCATGCGGATTTTCTGGTGCTGAACGTTGGACGCATCTAACATGATGTTTACTTTCACTTTGTCAAAGGTATAGAAGGTTGTGCCTTCCACAGTAAGAGATGGAATCTATTTAAAAAAAAAAACACCATTTTTTTTTCAATGCCAAGGTTTGTGATCCACAACAAGGCAATAAGACTTAAGTGTGTCATGCGGGGAGGGAAGGGTATAAATCTGACAATAAATAAAAATAAATAACTAAATATTGTTCCAGTTTATACTTAATGCGTATCTTGCACACATGAAGCTGCCTTAAAGTCAGTTTGGTGTAGTGGTTAAGAGTGGCGGACTGACCAATGTTCCCTCTAAGCTATGGAGTCTGGTGAGCAAAAAATCTACTTTGTGAGCTACTGGCATTAAAGTTGTGAGCGAGCGATTCGGCTACTGCATAAATGAGTTTGCTCTGGAGCCACATCCTTCCTGAGCTAAGAGAAAAATGTGTGAGCCGGAGGCTAAAAAACTGTGAGCTAGCTCACACTAACTCAGCTTAGAGGGAACACTGGCGGACTCTAATCTGGAGAACCGGGTTTGATTCCCCTCTCCTCCATGTGCAGTCAGCTGGGTGACCTTGGGTCAGTCACCATTCTCTCAAAGCTGTTCTCTCAAGAGCAGTTCTCTCAGAGCTCTCTCATCCTCACCTACCTCACTGTTATGGGGAGAGGAAGGGAAAGGAGATTGTAAACCACTCTGAGACCTCCAAGGGAAGGGTGGGGTATAAATCCAGCTCTGCTTCTTATACTGAATCAGACCCTTAGTCCATCGCAGTCAATACTGTCTACTCAGACTGGCAGTGGCTCTCCAGGGACCCAGGGCAGAGGTCTTTCACATCACATACCACTTTGCCCTTTAACTGGAGGCGCCAGGGATTGAACCGGGGACAACCTCTGCATCTCAAGCAGGTGCTCTACCACTGAGCCACAACCCCTCCCAAAGTCTTAAGTCAAAATACATCAGAATTAGTTTAAAACTTCCATCAGTTTTGGCTTAGGAAACAAGCTGTGCAGTCCTATACAGAGTTCCTCAAGTCTAAAATCAACAGGTTAACAATGGAATAGATCTACACAGGATTGCACTGAAAATATTCTAACGAGAACACAGGGCTTCCAAGAAGTTGGTTAGCTTACATGGATATGGGCTGCGAGGCAGATGTGTCATTCTGGCACACCCAGCTGGAATACTCAATGCACCAACCTATCAAGCTGCTTGGAAAAAATACTTCCCGCCCCACAGTTAACATGATTCCCTTTATGCAACTTCTTGCTAAGATCCAAATACTTTTTGAAACTTGGGGAGTCTGAAAAGGAGTTTGGTGGCAGAGACATTCCCAGAGCGCGCTCCTGGATCTTTGCTGCCTAACGTGATTTCACACTGTCACTTCATTTTTGCGGAAAGGTATTTTTGTACCTCGTCACTGTACAGAAGTGCCGGTTTGGGCTTATCCTTTTCTTCAAAGAAGACCGTGCCTTCTAAGCCGTATTTGGGGATCAGAACCACGATCGCATTCTTCCGCACGAACAGGATATAGGCCTCCTCGTTCACTACGCCTTTGCTCTTGAAAAACAACTGTGGAAAAGAGCACACACACACAAAAATGGACTGAAGTGTTTAAACTAAGCGGTAAGGGCCGCCGGAAGGAAAAGTCTGTTTTGGAGCGGGACCCCCCCCTCCCGGACAGGAGTCCCCAACGTGCTCCTCGTGGGCACCACAGTACCCCCTAAGTACCCAGCAGGGCTTCTGACTGGCCGTGCAGATTAAAAAGCAGGCACTTATGTCTTTTTTTAAGGTCCTTCTGTTAAAATGTTACGGTTTGTAATATTTACTGATTTAGTTCATTACTGATATTGAGTTGCATTCTCATGAAGTTGTATCTTTGTTATTGGTGAAAGTATGGCTTAATTTGCTTTGGATATAATAATAAAAATGTTAAAAAAAAAAAAAAGCAGGCATCCTGTTAAAGAGAGCTTCTGCCTGATACGTTGAAGAGGTACTGTTAGATTTATACATAGCCTGACATTTTGCGGTTGGCTCAGTCCTCTGAGGCAACCATTTTGCGACTGTGCTCACTTCCCTGTGTCAGAATTCCAAAGATGTCCACAGGCTCAAAAAGGCTGGGGACCCCCGTTTAGGAATAATGGGTCAAGACTCTTTCTTAATTCCTGAGCTAGGGGAGGCCCACCCCCAGCAAGAGAAGGAAAGGCAGAACTGCCATGCTCTTTGTTTCTTTTCTTGACACGACGGCCCTGTTTATTCCCCTGCTAGCTTCCAGCCCCTAGCCGTTCCGAAGGAAACAAGCACGGCATATTCCCATCGCCTCCCGGTCTTGAACCTCTAGCAGCCTACAACAACGATCCTGTGAGGCGGCAAGCGATAGAGACCCCCTTTAAAAGCTGCACTTTAGAACAGCAAAATCCTAAGCGCGGGATTTTTTTAAAAAAATGAACCGACCGGCTCCACCCTGCCCAAATTCCTGGCAAAATACAGGAACAGAACCATGTCACCTGGGTGTGAAAGGCAACCGACGCCCTCTGTGCGTACTGAGCCATTTTATGCCTGTAGTTGAGGTTGTTACACAGTTCTGCCAGTTTGTGTTTGTCTGTGAGGTCAGGATACGTGCAGTCTGCCCCTATGGCCACAGCCAGCAGTCGATGCACGATGATATCAGCGTATCTGTGACGGAAGAAGAATCAAGGATGTTATACGTTGGACACATGAAAACGTCTTATATTGAATCAGACTTCTGGTCTGTATTGTCTACTCAGAGCTACTGGCAGTGCCTCTTCAGGACCTCAGGTGGAGGTCTTTCACATCACCTCCTAGCCTTTGAATCAAGATGCCGGCGACCAGTGTTCCCTCTAAGCTGAGTTAATGTGAGTTAGCTCACAGTTTCTTAGCCTCCGGCTCACAGATTTTTGTCTCAGCTCAGGGAGGAGGGCTCCAGAGCAAACTGATTTATGCAGGAGCCAAATTGCTCGCTCACAAATTTTACTCCAGTAGCTCACAAAGCAGAATTTTGGCTCACAAGATTCCACAGCTCAGAGGGAACATTGCCGGCGACTGAACCAGGGGGCTTCAGTGTGCCACGAAGATGCTCTGCCACTGAGTCGTGCCCCAGAGACCACTGCAATTTATTTGTTTCAGGTCTGTAAGTCTCCAGTGGAGCTGTGTTTTATTGAAAAGGATCTTCAACATCTGCCGTTCATTTACAATCGATGAATATTAAGAGAGGCAGGATAAGACTCCGCCAATGTTAAGCACACGCCAACGTTAAGCACAGTCTTAGTGCAAGAGTTAGGCATACGGCTTCACTAAGCCATTTGTATTGAATCCAATGGGACTTGAATGTGTTCAACTTTGTCTAAATCGCACCTGTACAGTTCTTAATACAAACACAGGAAAACAGCTATTTTGGAGGCTCAGTAGTTACAAAACGGTCACTCTGCTATTACAGAGAAAGGCGCTGTAATGCAGTCACGGTCAGAAACATGGCTGTAAGGCGAAACGGGTACAGACGAGAAGGGAATCCTTCCCAGTGACAGACAGTCAAAGTTCGTAGCTACAAGCTAAACCACAGAAGTGTGAGGCGGCTTAAGGTGGCCTCTTGATAGGCATTTCCCCCATGCAGTAAAACAAGCCCTATCCTTCCCTATAAATACCGCTTCAGACATGTGGGTGGCTGTTCCATAGAGAAGCCAGTGGTGATTTACAAAGGCAAGAAGTGTGGAAGTGCCGAGCAAAATCCAGTATAAGAGCACAATAACACAAAGATCAGTATTATAAAATCCCATCCTAAGAAAAGGGAGGGCAAGATTAGTATAATAAGATCCCATCCTAAGAAAAGGGAGGGCAAATAATTGCACGTGGGTTCTAACTGTTACGGTAACTGGGCCCTGTCCAATCGGCTCTATATACATTTAGGTTACAATGAGGTCAGTGGGAGAGATATCTGCATGCTGCTGGCAAATCTGTGTTTTCCATGGATGCCATCAAGAAACACCGCCCTCTCCACCTTCTCCTGTTAGCTCGATTCCACTGCTAGAAAAGGAGGAATTTAGCTCCCTTGCCACCAATGTTCCCTCTAAGCTGTGAAGTCTTGTGAGCAAAAATTCTACTTTGTAAGCTTCTGGCATTAAAGTTGTGAGCGAGCAATTTGGCTACTGCATAAATTAGTTTGCTCTGTAGCCATCTTTCCTGAGCGAAGACAAAAATGTGTGAGCCGGAGGCTAAAAACCTGTGAGCTAGCTCACACTAACTCAGCTTAGATGGAACACTGCTTGCCACCGTGGCCCCAGGAACTACACAGTGGTGGCCCCACGGCCCTTGGAATCTCCTTGCTGGGGTAAGAAGGGACTGCTGGGAGAAAGCGAACGTGGCAAAGACCCACAGCTTCTGCGGATAGCACTCTGGATCCAGTTCCTTGTGTCTTCTAACAGTTCAGAGATTTTACATCCCCCTGCATGTGCCCCTATCTAAGCCCCCCCCCCCACAGTTATCCTCCCCAATGCTTCATTCCAGCACTTTACTATTAACCAATGAACAAATTCCAAAGGGGGGGGGAAGAGAATGAAGTTCTGAAAGGTAAACTCAAATTATGCTATGTAAATAAAGCACAGGCACTAAAGCACCTTTGGACGACTGCACAACTTCAGACAGAAAAAGCAGCGTTAAGAAGTCCTCTTTCCTCATGCAACTGGATGGCTACCAAACCATCTCTCTAAGAGAAGCACTGCAAGAACATGGCTGTCACAGATCCCTCTTGAGCCACTGTGGTATAATGGTTACAGAGTCAGACCTGGCAGGTCCAGGTTCAGATTCCCCCTCTGCCATGGAAGCTGGCTGGGTGAGCTTGGGCCACTCCCTCAGCCTAACCTACCTCACAGGGGTGTTGTTGTTGTGAGGATAAAATGGAGGACAGGAGAATGCTGTAAGCCAGGGGTGTCAAACGCATTTGTTATGAGGGCCACATCTAACATAAATGAGACCTTGTTGGGCTGGGCCATGGGTGTCATAAAATGTAATGCCAGGTAGCGGAGATATAACATTTATAAAGGACACAAACACAATTAAAAATATTTTAAACTTTAAATAAAACATGTTTAAAACAATGGCACTCTTGCAATATTTTGTCTATTTAACAGTCGCTGATAACTGACACCTCTTGCTCTGAATTACAGGATCAAAATGTCTGTGCTGTAACAATTCTGAGTATGCTGTTCAGGTGTGCATCCAGGGCTATTTTTGGGCAGGAACGCACAGGAACACTGTTCCAGCTGGCTTCTGAGTTGGCCATGCCTACAGCCAAAACCTCTGCGCATGCGTGGCTACAGAGGGAAGGCCTGGAGAGCGACCCCCCCAGCGACTCCGAGGCGGGCAGGCCGGGGGGGCCCTGGAAGGATTGGGGAGGCATTTAAATGTCTCCCCTCCGCTCCAAGGGCTGGGGTGCCCAGGCAAGCCAAGGGAAGGCAGTTTAAACTGCCTTCTCTTCCCTTCAAGTGGGGGGCTTGCTCGGGCTCCCCGCAGCCGCAGGGCATCCAGGCATTCCAAGGGGAGGCACGGGGGTGTGGCCTGATATGCTAATGAGCTGCAATGTCAGGAATGTGGCCTAATATGCTAATGAGTTTCTGCTGTTGGGTGTGGCCTATTAGGCTAATGAGTTCCTGCTGGCCTTTTTCTACAAAAAAAGCCCTGTGTGTATCTATAAGCTGCAAACCTCCTTTTGATTTATTGACATTCATTACAGAAATCTCACGCTCTGGCTGTTCCCTCCCTCCCCCTGGGAGAAGGAGGGGGAGGAGTCTCAGTCAGTTCTTTACCAGACTCACTCAATGGCACAGGAGAGGCTTGCCTATCTATCTCTCCTGTGCGACTGAGAGAGACTGGTAAAACAAACTGTGACATGGCAGCAGCAAGAGGACCGAAAAAGGAAGCAGGAAACAGATAGGGCCTTGCGGGCTGGACTGGGTTTCTTCCGAGGGCCTGATCTGACCCACGGGCTGCATGTTTGACACCCCTGCTGTAAGCAGATTTTGGTCCCCCACCATTGGGGGAAAAGGTGGGGTATAAATGAAATAAATACATGAATGGAAACACTGTAGTACCTTCTGATGGGCGAAGTAAAATGTGTATAAATAGGTGACGCCAACCCATAGTGGTGGAAATCATTATCCATTCCGGAGCAGAAGTAAACAGCTTGCATCATGCAGCGAGTCGCCAAGATACGTAACAAGGTGTTCAGGTAGGGGAAAGAAGGCAGTTCTGCGCAGTCCAAGGAATCAGCCAGAGCTTTTGCGGAATCGGTTTTGATTTCTAAGCCCTGGAAAATAGGGGGAAAGAATCAAAGCGGTTACTTCTAACAGTTCAAAGCCTTTTAGTGTTCAGTTTGATCTACCCTACCTACCCAGTCCACAAATTTAACATACACTGCTTGGAGCTGTCTTGAGGTTTGTCACTGTCTTCCAAATACAACACAGCCTTGATTCTAACTGCGCCGAAATGAATGAGCCTGTTTCAAAACATAACAGGCGGTGCTGCACTGCTGAACATGCTTGGAAAGCTATGGTGAAAAAAACCCCAAGATGACTAAACTATGGAAGTTGTTATTCTGATATATGCACAACTCAAAATATTAATGAATACACAAAAGAATGGGTGTGATATGTACAATGCTGAGGTTTTCTGCCCTCTTCTGGGCATGGAGCAGGGGTCCGGTGCCGGGGGGGGGGGGGGGTATTTGTGAATTCCCTGCGTTATGACCCTGGAGGTCCCTTCCAACACGATGATTCTAAAGCTCTTCTAGGCACACGGCAGAGGCAGCTTGTTCCCTCTTTTGCAGCCCCTTGCATGCTCCTCGGACGCATTCCCCAAACTCCGGGCGGTGCCTGCTGATCCCTTTCCCCATGCCCACTAAGTGTTTTTAGAAAGGGGGCAGAGCCACGTGGGGCTGCTGCCCAGCAAAGCTTCAGATTGTCTACTGGAGATTTGATTAGCTGTGCAGATTTTCCCCAAATGCTGCCTTGGCAGCAGCTGCCACGACAAGGATCTTCCTTGTGTGACTTAAGGTAAGCTGCGGCAGCCATTTTGCAGCTGGCTCCACCGCTCATGGCAGCCATTTTACATCTGGCTCCACCTCTCGCGGCAGCCATTTTGTGACTGAGCCCACCATGCAGATTTCCAGAGACTTAAATAAGGTTGGGAGCCCCTGCTCCAGTGCATGCAGGCAACACGGCCTCGGCCCTTGTGGTCCTCAACAACATCTCAAAGGAAGATGTACAAAATCAGCTCAGAACGCAACCCCTTTATCTGCTCCCAAGCACTGGGAGAGCTTGCCTTAGACTTGGCTGCCTTCACCAGGATGTCATAATTGGAAGGAGGAGGGGCAGGGTGCTTCCTCAGCAGGGCGTGCTCAGAGAACTCCTCATAGATCTTTTGAGCGACCGAGATGTTGGCAAGCAGCATGAACTCTTCGACCATGGAGTTGGTCTCTCTGTCAACATAAAGCATTGGCACATCAGAAGAGGCCGCAGTCGACATCTGGCGTGCGTGCTCTGTCCGAGGAAGGACGCTCTACACACGCACAAACTGAACTGCGACTGACTAAAGACCCGTGGATTCCCATAAGGACCCATCATAGCCACAGAGAGTGATAACAATGTGGAATTCGCTGCCCGAGGATGTAGTGACGGCCACAGGAATAAACAGCTTTAAAAGGGGATTAGGCAGATTCGTGGAGGATAAGTCTATCAGTGGCTACTAGCCATGGTGGCTGAGGGGAACCTCCACACTCAGAGGCACTAATCCTCTGAATTCCAGAGGCCACATCAGCTAAAGGCCTTGGCCTCTATGCCTTGTTGTTGGCTGTTCAGAAGAACCGGTTGGCCATTGTGTGAGACAGGATGCTGGACAAGATGGACCCCTGGTCTGATCCAGCAGGGCTCTTCTGATGTCAGCATGTTGCCAGTGCGCTGCACAGAGGCAGTGTGAGGGGCTATGCATGCCTGCCTCTCCCATTCCTCCATGTGCAGTTCTACTCTCTGGATCATACGACTTATTTGTGGAGCATGAGCTGCCTGCACGGTGCATGGGAGGGAAGATCAGGTGGGGGCGTGCAGACAGACTTGTTGCTCTGTGGAATGGCCTCTTTCTACTGCCTGTACAAGGCTCTCTTCGGCATTTCGGGAATCCTCTGCAAGCAGGCATGAGATGCCCCCACGCAGACTGGACTGAGCCATAAACACTAGCATTTAATGCAGCTGTGTACATTTCAAGTGCATTCCACCCAAAATAATCCTACCCAGAGGTCATTTCGGGGGGGGGATCGCAGTTACCCCGGGTGCGGTACGGGGGGCGGGGCACATGACGAAGCCTCACCCCCTGCTTCCGGCCACCCCGCTTCTGGCCCTCATTCAGCCAGGAGGAGGCAGGAGAAGAGGGAGGGTAAGTTGCTTCCTCCCTGCCTCTCCCCACCCCTGCCTGCCTGGGGCCAGGGAGGGCCTTCGCGGGGCTTCCTCGCACTCCCGCCGGCCGGGACCGTTGAGGGCGGTGTGTGTGGCCTTATGACCCACTTCTGGTGATGTCAGGGGGTGTGGCATATGCTAATGAGTTATGCTAATGAGTTCCCCTAGCTCTTTTTCTACGAAATGACCCCTGATCCTACCCATGCAGAGTTGGACTCCTACCACGGGAAGGCCTAGTGAGCTGTGAGTTGGGCAGCTGGAGTCGTTCGTAAGTCAGGTGGTGGAGAGGGAATCATCTTCAAAGGAAGCACAGGTGACTGGTTCACTTTCCGTTGCACCCCCGAGAATGAAAAGATGAGGCGGGCCAGGGGGGGGGGGGGGGGGGGGGGGGGGACAGGAGGATGTAGAACGCTTAGACTCTCACAGCAGGATGCTGCAGAATGGACCAGAATGGGAGCTCCAAATGGCTGGGCTAAAACTAAGAAGCCTGTGTTACACTCCCATCTGGGGAAAGGGAGGATGTCTAGAAAATATTTGATTTTTAAAAGTTTCTTAAGAACACTCCAAACATGACCCAAAATGCTTCCAGGACCAAAATCACCTCAGGACTGAAATCTGCTAGCTGTCATCTCTGACATCTCCATTTCCCCAGAATGCCCTGTGGTTCAGTCTTAAAACCCCCCCATCAAAACACAAAGCTTCCATCAACTATTACTCCCTGTCACATGTGGTCCTGCCTGAAGTCCAGTTTCCCTCCTCCACCAACAGAACATGGTGGACCGCTTCTGCAAATACCTCCCAACGTTCCCAAGGGCCCAAGCGACCTCTTATTCTTCAGGGAGCTCCAGTGGGAAGGGGGCCCCAGACGCTTCCCCAAATGCCACCCTTCGCAGCTCATAGGACCCAAGTGGTTAATGCTTTTAAAAACCAACAAAAAGATACACATAATCAATGCAACAGAACTGAGCCCAGGTGCCCAGCTTTCAGATGATCGTGATTTCTGAAATCCTTCAGCCAAGACTTGTGTGGAAAGCACCAAGGTTCCGTTTTGCATGCTTCACAACCAAGATGATCATAGTGCAATGAGTCATGAACCACGCTACGACTTGCAAATTGCAAAATGAATACAACTATAATAGGAACCGTGAAATGGAGCCTGGTAGCCCATCTTAGAGTTTTTTCAAACCCTTATTCAATATTGGTAAGCTATATATTCTGTTTTTCTTCTCTTTGATAACTTACGATAATGATATAAGTATATAAAATTATAAAATGTTCCTTTCCCCCCCCCCCTTTAATAGAATCCTGGTGATGTAAAACTGATTTTGGTGGTAAAAATGAACACAAAGTAGTTGATATTTCTATTTTCACTGACAAAATGCAATATAATATAAATATTACTTTTAAATTTCATCAAATAGATTTTTCTCATTATATCATTTTATGATATGAATTCTGTTCACTTCTGAAGACGTCCGAAACAAATTTTTATCTTCATAACCATATTGTGTATACTGTACATTATTTGGAAATAATATTGTGCACATTGTACAATATTTGAGAATCTTGTTTATGAAATTCTTTATTATATTTTCAACTCTGTGAATGAGATTCTTTATTGTAATATGTTTGGATAAGAATCGTTAATAGAATACAATATTTTGAGATTTCTTAGTGTCTTTCTTTCATGGTTCCTATTACAACTGTATTGGTTTTGAACTGTGAAATGCAAAATGAAGGCACGACTTCAGTGCCAAGCACGGCTTTGCGCACTTTGTATCGTCATTAAGGAACACTGAAAACTGACAGCGTTTGCTACAGGAAGCCTCACAACCAGACAATCTGACCACCACCACAACAATAAAGCACACATACACACATCAAACTTACTTGAGCTCCTTTGTCTGCAAATCAATAGGGTCGTGGGTTTCACTATCCATATGGAAGCGAACTTCAGGTGAAGAGAGAGTTAAAGCCCTAGAAGATAAACATATACAAATAAAGTAAACCTGTTTTACTGAACTCAGACAAGTGCTGACACGCTGCAGCCAATTTATGGTGACCCCGTCTCTAGTTCCAGCTCCTGCCAGCCTAGCAGTGAGAAAGCAAGAAACTGCAAGAAGATAAATAGCTCCCACTTCGGTGGGAAGGTAACAGCGTTCCGTGTGCCTTGGCGTTTAGTCATGCTGGCCACATGACCACGGAAACGTCTTCGGACAGCGCTGGCTCTTCGGCTTGGAAACGGAGATGAGCACCGCAACCCTAGAGTCGGACTCGACTGGCTTTCGAGCAAGGGGAACCTTTACCTTTTACATAGGTTTTTCAAGGCAAGAGGCATTCATTGCCTGCCTCTGCATAGCGACCCTGGACTTCCTTGGTGGTCTCCCCTCCAAGTACTAACCAGGGCTGACCCTGCTTAGCTTCTGAGATCGGACCGGATCAGGCTAACCTTGAGTAAATATCAACGCCATTGTACAAGTCATTCTGCAGTCCTTAGACGATCTACAATCCGTAATTAGGACACCTGAATCACTTGAGCTATGTCAGTCATCTTCAGTTTTTTTAAACCACCAGGGAAACCACCATTGCGTTCTCGGCTAAGGACTCTCTGGGCAAAGGGGAAGCAATGAGTTCCCCTCTACTAGCCTGCCAGGGATAGAGATGCTGTTTGATGCTCCCCTTTCCACCACCTCCGTCTTCAGCAGCCGTTCCACCCGGCCATTATGGAACAGTTACGCAAGTCAGCTAAGAATTAGTGCCCGAACCTGCTCGTCCTCCCTCTTCTTCTTCCGTCCCCTTCTACGATGCGTACGTTATGTTGCCAGCGTTCACAGGAATCGCAGACTGGCTTTGATACAATGGCCGAAACCATCAGAGAGAACGCAGTACAAATTGCAGTGGATTCTAGGGGCCATATGTAGTCTGCACAGGGAACTGGCTAAGCCTGGTGCTCTTCCCTGTGGCCTGCCTTGCACTGAGAGTGTGACCTATAAGCACAATATTCTGCCATACATTGCAAGATAATATGGGTAGTGGTGGGCAACCTGTAGTCTAGGAAAGTTTATATGGTATGAACGATCTTATCATAGAACTTTAGAGTTGGAAGGGATCTTGCAGGTCATCTAAGTCCAACCCCCTGCGCTCTGCAGGAGCATCTTCTCACAGAGAACCTCCAGCAAGCTAAACAGGGAACCCTGGGGCATCCCAGGACTGCAGCGTGGAAGTCACTGTGCTATACTGGGGTCCCCCAACGTGGTGCCCACGGGCACTGGGGTGCCCACTGAAACCTTTCCTGGTGCCCACCAAGTGTTTCCAGAAGTGGACAGGGCGAAGTGGGGCTTTTGTTCAGAAAGGCTGGCCACTGGAGATTTGATTGGCTGTGCAGGTTTCTTAAAAGGTTGCTTTGGCCAGCAACTGCCACCACGGCACAAGGATCTTCACTGTGTGGTTGGAAGTAAGCGGCGGCGGCCATTTTGTGGCTGGTTTGGCCTCCTGTGGCAGCCATATTGTGACAGCCGTTTTGTGGTGGCACGTGCCTCACTGTGTTGGGATTCCAAAAGGTGCCCACAGGCTCAGGAGGTAGGGGACCCCTTGGCCTGTACAATAAAGACTTGCTCTTATATCCCCTACCATGCTGGTAAAAGGAAAATCCACTCTGCCAGAAGCCAGATGGCTGTCGCTACTCTAAAATATTTTATTTGGTACTCTATTAGTACTTAAATAATCGGTAAGAATAAAATTCAGTTTAGATAAATAATTAAGACAAGTTTAGGACTAAGACGATATTTAGGTTTTTATCACAGAAGTCCATTCAACTGTTGAAGATGTATTCTCTTCAACATCTTATCATTGCTAATTTTAAGAGAGTTTCTGTTTATTCCTTAAAGAGAGAATCGAACCCAAAATTCTGTAATATTGATGCTTTATTGATTGTTTCTATATTTGAATTATGTAGTACATTTGATAATACATCTGATTTTACTTGTTGTACGTGACAATTCATAATATATTTAACAAACTTGATGGATCTAGAAGAGAAGAGATTGGATTTATACCCCGCCCTTCAGTACCCAAAGGAGTCTCAGAGCGGCTGACAAACTCCTTTCCCTTCCCCTCCCCACAGCAGACACCCTGTGAGGTAGGTAGGGCTGAGAGAACTCTGACAGAAAGCGCTCTTTTTCAAGGACAGCTCTGACAGAACTCTGGCTTGCCCAAGGTCATCCAGCAGCTGCAAGTGGAGGAGTAGGGAATCAAACCCAGTTCTCCCAGATTAGAGCCTGCGCACTTAACCACTACACCAAACTGGCTCTATATTTCCCCCCTCCCCTTTTCCCCTTCTGTATCCCACCTTTTTTTTCCTTGAGAAAATAATTAAAAAAATTAAAAAATAAATAAGAGTGGAAGAAATAGCACAACAGAACGCATGCTCGTCTGCTTACCCGTTATCTATCCGGTGCTTCTTAAGAATTTTAGCCAGCCTGTTGAGTCCACGTAAACTAGTGGTTATGTCATCGTTCATGTTGGTGGAGTCTATCTTCATTTGTGCCTCGGCATACGTCAGAGAAGCCTTCCCGGGGGGTGGGGGGGACGGTTAAAAATGAGAAGCAGTAAACACAAGGGCGAGAATGACATCCCCTGGACGCAACAGCTCTGAAGCTGACGGAGTTCTACATCTCCTTCTAAGACACTGGGTTCGGATTCTGTGGGCGGAGGGTGGGAGGGCGATTTTTGCCAATTCCCCATCCCACTGCAGACGCCCCCACACTGTTCTTTAGGGTCCCTTGATACCCCCACCCCACCCGGGGCACCAGCTTAACTCTGCTGGTGTTGTTTTAGATCCAATTCATACCTGCTAAAATTGGGGCAGGGGAGGGTGCGAATTCTGTACAGATCTAATGTGAACTGTTCCACAGCACCGTCCATGGTGAGCAGACATGGAAGGCTGGTTCGGATTCAAAGATGCCCTCGAGTGGCCAAACGTTTCTCGCTTGTGCAGGCCGTGGGCGTTATCTCCAGTTTTTCCTCCGTCCCCCCTCCCCGCCACGGCCTGCTGTCATATCTCACACCGGTCCAGAGGTCACCCCCAGCCCTCAAAAGCGGATTTCCAGAGGGCACAGCGGGTAAAGAGTGGGCACGGGGAAGCAGCGTTTAAGAGCAGAACTAATCGCTACGCTCCAAGCCAATATTAAGAGCGGAGTGGACCGTCTGCCCAGATCCCTTTGCATCAGCAAAATAATTACAGCTATTAATTCGACATTATGGAATAAAACCTACATGAGAAACAAACTATGCAAAGCCCCCTGCTGATTACGGGATCTAGGAGTGCTGGGAAATCACACCCTTAGCCTCGAGAGCCAGTTTGGTGTAGTGGTTAGGAGTGTGGACTCTGATCTGGGAGAACTGGGTTTGATTCCCCCACTCCTCCACATGCAGCTGCTGGTGTGACCTTGGGTCAGTCACAAGTTCTCCCAGAGCTGTTCTCTCAAGAGCAGTCCTCGAAAGACCTCTCTCAGCCCCCACCTACCTCACACGGTGCCTGTTGTGGGGAGGGGAAGGAGATTGTCAGCAGTGTTCCCTCTAAGCTGAGTTAGTGTGAGCCAGCTCATAGTTTTTTAGCCTCCGGCTCACGCATATTTGTCTCAGCTCAGGAAGGAGGGCTCCAGAGCAAACTAATTTATGCAGTAGCCAAATCGCTCGCTCACAGCTTTAATGCCAGTAGCTCACAAAGTAGAATTTTTGCTCACAAGACTCCATAGCTTAGAGGGAACATTGTAAGCCACTCTGAGACTCCAAGTGAAGGGCTGGGTATAAATCCAATCTCCTCTTCTTCTTCCAGTAAGGACAAGATAATCCTGGCCCCAGACATTAGGCAGGGGACCACTGTCTGCATGAAGCTCCTCTCCCCTTCCCTCCCGGAAAAACCTGTGTTGCAATGAAGGAAGGGAAAGGACAATCTAGTTCCCTTCACTTCAGAGTATGGACCCGTGTAACAACTGCAGTCTGTTCCAGTATTCCATGGATACCTCCAAAATCCAGGGAATACCTAGTACGTGGTAATCAGTAGCCAGGAGTAAGCCTCTGGAGACCCAGATTCAAATTTCTACTTGCTGTACAACTCACTGGGTGACCCTGGGCAAGCCAGTCTCTGCCAGCCCGTCCTACCTCACAGGGCTATTGAGAGGATGACATGGAAAAGGGAAGAGCCACATCAGCCACCCCAAACTCCTTGGAGAAAGGCGAGGATAGAAATGTGACACATAAATAAATAAATCTTGGGAGCGAATCCATTTCTTAGGTTCCCCACTTTAAAACTAGAGTTTAGAAGATCCTTTTGGAGACAGATACTAACCCAGGAATATGGTCCTGTTTCTACAGAAGAAGACAGAAGAAGGGATTGGATTTATAGCCTGCCCTTCATTACCCGAAGGAGTCTCAGAGCGGCTTACAATCTCCTTCCCCTCCCCCTCCCCACAACAGACACCCTGTGAGGTAGGTGGGGCTGAGAGAGCTCTCTCGAGAACTGCCCTTGAGAGAACAGCTCTGACAGAACTTGTGACTGACCCAAGGTCACACCAGCAGCTGCATGTGGAGGGGTAGGGAATCAAACCCGGTTCTCCCAGATTAGAGTCCGCGCTCTTAACCACTACACCAAAGGGTTCCAACAAGAATGATGTTCCACTCTTCCCGGCTCCTATCTTTATTTTAATGTGCAACTTCTGTCACATTCAGCACCTTTGCCTGGTTACCAAGAGATCAAAACTTGTGCTCCCTCATTTTTGCCCGCTAAAAACCCATACAAATTTTGATCCTACCTTGGAATTAATTATACTCTTCGTAAATCTGGTTTTCAAGATTTCAGCATTGGGGGTCATTTCCCAGATACATGAAAATGCAAGCCTAGGAAGGAGGGGGGGAAAGGCGGACAGATGAAATCAAAGAATTCACTTACAATTGTCTTGAATACCTAAAAAAACCCGCGTAAACGGCATGATTACCTGTCAACGTTGGATCTCAGAGAACACAAGTTGGAACTCAGCAACTCTGGAACCATATCAATCCTCTGCAAGACAAGGGACAAGAATAGGCATGTCACGTTTCTTTAAATCGTTATTCTCTCTCACGTCTTCTCCTGTACTGCAGATTTATACACCTGTGGCTAATTCGAATAAGAACACATTCGCGATCTTTGTGACTGCAATCTGCTCTTCTCCCATTACAGATACTGAACCAGTAGCAAACACTGAAGAGCCAGAGTGGTGCAGTGGTTAACGTGTCAGACTAGGATCTGGGAAATCCGAGTTCGAATCCCCACTCTGCCATAAGAACATAAGAGCAGCTGTCATGATCTGTGCAGGACTGGGAGCAAGGCCTAGTGCGGCCTGGTCCCAGGAGAGACCTGCATGGCAGTGGAAAGGAGACATAGCCTACAATCCCCACAATGCTTAGCGACAGTTGTAGCCAATCTGTGTCCAGGGATTGTGTGAAGAGATTGGGACTTAAGCTTTGAGGGCTGTGGAAACTGTGTTCTTGTCTCTTCTGTGGTCTGGCCTCACACAGAGTATAACTGAGGGGACTGGTCTGAGAGAAAGATCCCTCACTTGGGACGGAGTGAGTATAAGCAGGAGGCCTGGTATAAGAGGGCCGTGGGTCTTGAAACAGTAACATAAGAACATAAGAGAAGCCAACATTGGGATCAGGCCAATGGCCCATCCCATCCAACACTCTGTGTCACACAGTGGCCAAAGATACCAGGTGCCATCAGGAGGTCCATCAGTGGGGCCAGGACACTAGAAGCCCTCTCACTGTTGCCGCCCCACCCCCACCCCGAAAGCACCAAGAATACAGAGCATCCCTTGCCCCAGACTGAGCTCACCAGTTAAGTGAACTAGGTATCTGTTAGATTTTGTTTATTTTTGCCTATAAACACTGTTATATATTTTAAAGCACCTTGTCTTATTTTCATTGCCCCAGTACTGTTTAATTGCTCTCTGCTGGGTCATCACACCTATGTTCTCAGCTTAAAAAGGGGCATTTTGGATGGGCTTGGGAGGGTACTCTGGGCCTTCTCAAGGAATCTGAAGTCCAGAGTGGTGGCAGCTGGAGGTGGCAGCCCGCTGGGGTCATGACAGCAGCCCTGCTATATCAGACAATAGTCCATCAAATCCAGCATCCTGTCTCCTCTGGAGGGCCAACAACAGGGCACGGAGGCCACGGCCTTCCCCCTGATGTTGCCTCCCAGCTCTTGGATTCAGAGGCTTAGTGCTTCTGAATGTGGAGGTTCCGCTCAGTCACCCTGGCTAGTAGCCATTGACAGACCTATCCCCCATGGATCCATCTAATCCTCTTTTCAAGCTCTCTAGTCCAGCGACCATCACTGCATCCTCTGGCAGCAAATTCCGCAATTTAATCACTCCCTGTGTAAAGAAGTATTTCTTTTTGTCTGTCCTGAACCTCCTGCCCATCAGCTTCGTTGGATGCCCTCGAGTTCTAGGATTTTGGGAAAGGGAGAAACATTTCTCTTTGTCAATTCCCTCCACCCCGTGCATAATTTTACAAACCTTTCCGCAACTAGCAGAGGGCAGGTCATGCTGAATTTCAAATGACCTTGTTGGGCACACCAGGAGAAACGCCTAAATACACAGAAACGCTTTCCTTATCTATAGTTGCCCCATCTCCCCACCCAACAGAACTGGCCCATGAAGCTCATTATCACGAGTAACAATCAACAGTACTGATAAAGAGTTTTGGCAGCCTTCACATGAACATTTCTTTAATATTTTGATTCTCCAGAACTTGTTGTAACTATGAAATTGGGGGGGGGGGGGTTTACTCTTACAGCTGTACTCATGCCACATGGAGAGACGTAGGCATTCATAACACAAGTGAAAAATAGCTGCATTAAGTTCAAGGCTAGAACGAAACCAAATTTGAACGGGGAAAACTTGATATGAATATAAAAGAGATACAAAAAGGAAATTTACCTTTTCACACAGGTATACAGTGGTACCCCTTTTTGCGGATTCTTGGTCCAGAGCATTTCCTGGTCGAATGAAATGGCTGACATCTGCGATATGTACACCGACCTATTAAATACATAGGTTATTCAGAATTTTCGTAAGTATATTTGTAGTTGAATTCCTCGTGTAACGGTTAAGAACAGCCTGATGTGGTGGTTAAGACTTCCTGCGACAAAAAGAGCCCTGAGTTAAGAATAGTGGACTCTAATCTGGAGAACCAGGTTTGATCCCCCAGTCCTCCCCAAAAAGCCTGCTGGGTAACCTTAGGCCAGTCACAGTTCTCTCAGAACTCTTTCAGCCCCACCTATTTCACAAAGTGACTATTGTGGGAAGAGGAGAGGATGGCGATCGTAAGCCATTTTGAGACTCCTTAGGGAAGAGAAAAGCGGGGTGTAAAAACCAACTCTTCTTCTTCTTCTTCCTAGGAAGCCTGCTGGGTGATCCTGGGCCACAGTTCTCTCAGGACACTCTCAGCCCGACCTGCCTCACAAGGTGCGTGTTGCGGGGGGGGGGGGAACAGAAGGCAACTGTAAGCCACTTTGAGACTCCTCAAAGTAAGGGAAAGCAGGACATAAAAACCAACTCTCCTCCTTCCTTTTGTGCTACCTCAGAAAGTTAACATATATGTATTTTCTCTGGCATACTTCCATGCTTGAGAGGAGATTGATGGAGCGTAACAACAGGGTCTCAGTTAATTACTCTCAGCATCCCACAATTAAGAAGGGTACATTTACACATCTACCTCCAATGCTGATAGATTTATTATATTTTTTTTGCTCCCCCTCTCCCCCCCCCCCCCCGGAATGAAATCCAAACAAAAGGTGACCATATAAACTTGGCTTGTTATTCCAGTTTGGTCCTTGCATCTGTTAAAACATTTTCCATTATGTTGTATGCTATTTTGCTGCTCACCCTCTCGCTGTATGTACGGACTGGTAACTTCTATTTCAATCTATCTGAAGAGGTGGGTGTGCACACAACAGCTCACACTTTGAATAAAACTTTGTTGGTCTTAAAGGTGCCACTGGACGCACACTTCGTTCTACTGCTTCAGACCAGCACAGCCGCCCCACCTGAATTCCTCTTGCAGATATTAGGGTTGGAACCTACCCCTTTGAATTCTCCCATGCGCTTCCCGAAACTATCACAACACTATTTTTGTGACAGCTGAATAAACGTGTTACCGCTACAGCTGTGTAACAGCATTAATACCTCAGAGGATGTCAAACTCGTCTTAAACTTAGAGCGACAAAAACGGGAATCGTTGAAACAACGCTTCTCAAAAAAAGGGATATTTTTAAAAAGCGATTACTCATTTACAAAAGTGAAAGACCACTGCTTCCAACTGGTATTTAGCATCTGAAAACTACCAGCGGAACGGCAGTTCAGACTTCTGCACTGCGTGGAATGCAAGTATGTCACTATAACCCTGACCCTAAACAAGTTTATCCATAGGCACGGAATTGCGCAACTGGCTTTCACAGAAGAAGAAGAGGAGATTGGATTTATACCCCGCCCTTCACTTGGAGTCTCAGAGCGGCTTACAAACTCCTTTCCCTCCCCCTCCCCACAACAGACACCCTGTGAGGTAGGTGGGGCTGAGAGAGCTGTGACAGAAACTGCCCTTTTTCAAGGACAGCTCTTATCGGAACTATGGCTTGTCCAAGGTCATCCAGCAGGTGCAAGTGGAGGAGTGGGGAATCAAACCCGGTTCTCCCAGATTAGGGTCTGCGCACTTAACCCATCAAAACTGACTGCTTTCTGAGCCCAACCAGGAAATACATGAAGTTAAATACTTAAAATGACATCATCAAATCATCATCATGGGAATAATATTCAAAGGGCATAATTGGTTACAGAAACTTAAACAACATTTACATCAAAATTCCCTTATTGGTCAAATGTAAGAAAGGTGTGCCTATGCAATAGCGTCACATATTTACTTGACATAAACTAAGTCATATCGGCCAAGGCTTGTTCTCACCCAAACAAAAGTGTTGTTCTCTGATACCCAGGAAAAGATCCATTGTGACCCAGACACTATGCAGTTATAACCTAAACAATTAGAACCATGAACCTTATATCTACTTGTATGCTAAAAGAATGTCTCCCGTGTCTTGTCTGTTAACAGCAACTAGGAAAAATCCCCCTTGACCCACAAAGAAGAGAGGCCTTCTATATACTAGGCCTTCATTATATTCCAATAAAACATTAGATCTATAATAAGCCTATAGTATCCAGAGAAATATGAATAATCAAAGAAAGAGGAAAAATCTATATAGTCCCATCTCTACTACACTTTTGTGCGCACATGAAATGCATGCACACAAAAGCTTATAGCCAGAATTAAAACTTTGTTGGTCTTCAAGGTGCCACCGGACTCAAACTTTGTTCTGCTACTCCAGGCCAACATGGCTGCCCACTTGGAGGTAACATACAGTCAGAGGTCATTTCAGGGGGAAACACGGGGGATCGCAGTTCCCCCGGGTGAGGTACGGGGGGCGGGGCACATGACGAAGCCCCGCCCCCTGCTTCCGGCCGCCCCGCTTCCGGCCCTCATTCAGCCAGGAGGAGGCAGGAGGGTAAGTTGCTTCCTCCCTGCCTCTCCCCACCTCTGCCTGCCTGGGGCCAGGGAGGGCCTTCACGGGGCTTCCTTGCACTCGTGCCAGCCTTGCAGGTCCACCGCCGGGCCCCTCATGGGGCTCGGCAGTGGAGCTGCAAGGCCGGCACCGGCGGCCGGGACCGTTGGGGACAAGGTGTGTGGCCTTATGACACATTTCCAGTGATGTCAGGAGGTGTGGCCTTATGACACACTTCCGGTGATGTCAGGCGGTGTGGCATATGCTAATGAGTTATGCTAATGAGTTCCCCTAGCTCTTTTTCTACGAAATGACCCCTGCATACAGTAGATGCAGCAGCTGGACCACCATTTTCTTCCAGATTGTTTTGTTTTATGCCGTGCGACTGTTTCATGCGTTTTTCATCTCACTTGCTTCCTGAACACGCCGACATAAATACGGTATCACGGGCACGAAAACGGCAGAGCGGCGTTTCGGTAAACCCCGAGGGGAACTTGCCTCCAGATTGCCGTTTTCCAGCTCTCTGCAGTGCAAGGCGTCGTCGATGTCAGTACAGCCGGGAGGATCGACGCTGCACACGCACAGGTGCCTCAGGTCCTCTCTGCATTTAATATCCTGGAAAAAAATTTTTCCCAATGAAATACTTTAAAAACAATGGTAATCGCACCCACCCACTGAAGTTTATACTATTTCAGAGAACCTTAATTATAAAACGGGCAATTCAGGCTAGAGATACAGTAGTGGAGTGCCACAGGCATGGTGACACAAGCCTGTCGGAGCATCCTGAAGCCCAGCCACTATATTTTGGCATGAGGTTTCCCGGATTGGGTCACGTTTACAGTGTAATCCTGTGCAGAGCCAAACCAGTCCCCACCTTGATTTCGACGGGCTTAGACTGGAGTAACTCTGTGTATGACTGCAGTTTCTGTCAGATGCATGTAGTGGTAACTAGGAATGTGTAATTTTTATTTTTACCGGTATTTTCCAGTTTGGGTATGGTATTCGGACCCATGATCATTCGGGTCCGACAGACTCGAGAAGAAAAACACCAGTAAAAAAGGCTGGCTATGCAGAGGCAGGCAATGGCAAACCACCTCTGCTCATCTCTTGCCTTGGTAACCCCATGAAGGGCAGCCTTCAGTCGATTGCAAAACCAGTGCGAAAACAGCAGTGTGTGCTCTACATCTTAAACAGAGATTCCAATCAGAGTGAACATAAGAACATAAGAGAAAAGCCAATGTTGGATCAGGCCAAAGGCTCATCCAGTACAACACTCTGTGTCACACAGTGGCCAGAAATACCAGGTGCTATCAGGAGATCCACCAGTGGGGCCCTCCCACTGTTGCCCCCCCCCCCAAGCACCCAGAAGACAGAGCATCACCTGCCCCAGCCTGAGAGTTCCTATCTATACCTTGTGGCTAATAGCCACTGATGAACATAAGAATATAAGAGATGCCAATGTTGGATCAGGCCAAAGGCTCATCCAGTACAACACTCTGTGTCACACAGTGGCCAGAAATACCAGGTGCTATCAGGAGATCCACCAGTGGGGCCCTCCCACTGTTGCCCCCCCCCCCAAGCACCCAGAAGACAGAGCATCACCTGCCCCAGCCTGAGAGTTCCTATCTATACCTTGTGGCTAATAGCCACTGATGGACCTCTGCTCCATATGCTTATCTAATTCCCTTTTGAAGCCGCCCATGCTTGTAGCCGCCACCATAGTGGCTCTATCTGACTCCCAAAGAGCAGCCTCGCTGGCAATGAACTGGTGCAGCAAAAAGAACAGCAGCAAAGAAAACAGAGTAGAGAAGATCTCCTATTCGCTGGAACAATGCAGCTTGGTGTACAAACTGCTGATGGCCACACCAGGGGGTATTCCCCCCCCCCCCCCGGTACTTCCAAGTTCACACTTATTTTGCGGACAAGAAATTCAGGCTGGAACACACTGTGACTGACAAGGTTTTGAAGACCAGTGACAAATGAGCGACGAGCATGTGGCCAGCTCTGCTTTACTCCAGTAAAACCCGTTTTCAGCTTCGAGGGCGTGGGCCGAAGTGAGGAACAATTAAAGACTATGAAGATGCAGGAAAGGGATTTAAGTTACCCATCTTTACAGCTACTGGATCTGGATACTTTTTTCCTTTTTGCTGTCAAGTCGCAATCGACCCCTGGTGACCTCTCATGGGGCTTTCAAGTCGAGAGACGTTCGGAGGAGGCTCGCCATGGCCTGCCTCTGCGTAGTGACACTGGACTTCCCTGGTGGTCTCCCATCCAGGAGTCATTTCCTGCAGGAGCGCACAGGAGCGGAGCTCCGGCAGTAAGGAGCCCAGGGGGCGGGCACATGCAACAAGCCCCACCCCCTGCTCCCACCAGCCCTCAGTCAGAGCAAGAAGCAGCCAGGAAAGTGGCAGAGCCCCCCCCCCGGCCCCCTGGTCCAAAACAGTCCAGTGGCACCCTTAAGACCAAGTTTTATTCAGGTACAAGCTCTCCCTCCTCTGCGAGGGCAGATCTGCACGTTGCCCCCCCCCCAATAGCTAGCAATCCAAAACAGTCCCGTGGCGCCTGAGCGGTGGGTGTTGCCTTCTGACACACTTCCGGTGATGTCAGGGGGTGTGGCATCTGCAAAAAAGTTATGCTAATGAGTTGTGCTAATGAGCTCCTGCACCTCTTTTTCTACGAAATGACCCCTGCTCCCACCCAAACACTAACCAGGGCCGACCCTGCTTAGCATCTGAGATCTGATGAGGGCAGAGTAGCCGGGGCCACCCAGGTCAGGGAACATCTTTTCTCCGTCCACTGTCACCCTCTCCCTTCCTGCTGCGTCATGCAAGCGCTACGGGAGACAGAGGGACAAAGCAAAGTGTCTGCTGGCGATCTGTGCTTTCCTTGTACCTTCTCGGTGATGCTCCAGGGCATCTGGGGGAGGAAGCTGAGCACAGCCTGGGAGAAGGGCTGGTGAGGGACATCATGCTCCAGCAGCAGGACTTCGGTCTCCGTTTCCTTATCGCCGGCGGCGCCCAAATTCTTTACAAAGTGGCCCTGGACGAACACACATTTCAGTACGATGAAACGCAGCCGTTAACAGGCTACTGAAAAACAAAGACCGTTTCGGGCTGCAACTCAAGATGTACTCGTTTGACTAGCCAGAATGCTGACTTCTAAACAAACGCAGGCTCCGGTCATGTGTGCGAAATAATCCACTTTCAGTGCACTTTCCAGCTGGATTTTTACTGTGTGAACTCGCAGAATCCAGTTGGAAAGCAGAATGAAAGTGGATTATTTAGTGGGTGTGACCGCCAATGCTCTCCCTCTAAGCTGCGGGGTCTTATAAGCAAAAATCCTACTTGGTGAGCTGCTGGCATTAAAGTGGCGAGCGAGCGATTGGGCTACCGCATAAATTAGTTTGCTTGGGAGCAATGCTCCCTCTAAGCTGTGGGGTCTTATAAGCAAAAGTTCTACTTGGTGAGTTGCTGGCATTAAAGTTGTGAGCTAGCGATTTGGCTGCTGCATGAATTAGTTTGCTTGGGAGCAATGCTCCCTCTAAGCTGTGGGGTCTTATAAGCAAAAATCCAACTTGGTGAGCGACTGGCATGAAAGTTGTGAGCCAGCGATTTGGCTGCTGCATAAATTAGTTTGCTTGGGAGCAATGCTCCCTCTAAGCTGTGGGGTCTTATAAGCAAAAATCCAACTTGGTGAGCGACTGGCATGAAAGTTGTGAGCCAGCGATTTGACTACTGCATGAATCAGTTTGCTCTGGAGCCATCCTTCCTGGGCTAAATCAAAAATGCGTGAGCTGGAAGCTAAAAAGCTGTGAGCTACCTCACTTGCTCAGCCTAGAGGGAACACTCGTGACCACAGCCATACACAGGATTGAGCCGCTGGTCTGTTAATTCTAAACAGGGCTTCCTGTGAGGTCGGCTCAGGGTCAGAGCATCTCAGGGCTCCAGGTCTGTGAAACCATAACAGCAGTGGAGCAGGACGTATTGCAAACAGGATGAGAAGTCCTCGAAGACGGTCCAAGTCAGTGTTCCCTCTAAGCTGAGTTAGTGTGAGCCAGCTCACAGTTTTTTAGCCTCCGGCTCACACATTTCTGTCTCAGCTCAGGGAGGGATGGCTCCAGAGCAAACTAATTGATACAGTAGCCAAATCGCTCGCTCACAACTTTCATGCCGGTAGCTCACAAGACTCCACAGCTGAGAGGGAGCACTGGTCCTGGTAGAAAGCATCTCTGTCAAGTGAGCCTCCAGAGGGAAGGGCGGGGCACGAAGCCAGCGTGGGAGAAGAGGGCAAGCCCACAGGACACATCTGGCTTGATATGCGCAACGCTGGACACAGCTGGGTAGCCCCATCTGCAGCGGTGAAGGGGGAGGGTGTGCCGCGTGGGGCTGTGGGGGGGTGGTGGGGACAAGTAGGGAGGCAACCAATGTTCCCTCTAAGGTGTGGAGTCTTGTGAGCAAAAATTCTACTTTGTGAGCTACTGGCATTAAAGTTGGGAGTGAGCAATTTGGCTACTGCATGAATTAGTTTGCTCTGGAGCCATCCTTCCTGAGCTAAGACAAAAATGTGTGAGCCGGAGGGAACACTGGAGGCAACCTGCACTAATTAGCCCCAGGTGGGCACAACTACCGGGGAGGAATTTCATGGCGGTTCTGTGCTGGAGGTGGGGGGCGGAGTGACTCGGTTGATCCGGGAGTGAGCCGGACAGTAGCACATGCCAAGGTGATGACAGCGGCAAGGAGTCGGGGAATTTGCACTCTGTGCGTGGCCAGTGGCTGTGTGGAATGAGAAGGTGCTTAATAAAAGGTTCGTATCTGCACTCTCCACATCTCCTGCCTCCTCCATGGACGATGGTGCCTCACCCACCCCCTAGCCTCATGCAGGCTCCCACGCCACCCACGCCCCGCCCCAGGGGTGGGGAGGACTGCCAAGCACACAGTTCCGCAGGCCACGTTTTCCACCCTGACACAACATTTAACAAACAGAGCCTTGCCATTCTCTTCCCTTGGAAGCGTTTGGTCGTTGCACTGATTTCATGCTCTTCAGACCTATTGAAGTGATCCGTGACGTTTCGTTTCAGACTTACATTAGGGTACCGTGAGTTCCGGGGCCAGCCGTCGATCGCGACAATAATGCGTTGTCCTTCGAGAGTGGAAGCCTGCCTTGTTTCTATTCGGATCCGAGGGATCCTGCGATCGGCAGGGGTGAATAAATGCCGCCTTGCCTGTTAAAGAGAACAGGGGCAGCGACTTTCAGTAAATTACGGAAGGAAGCGGCAAGGCAAGGGTTGGATCACAGGGGTGCTCACCTCTTTTATCTGTGATTTAGAAAGCATGCCACAGAACGGCCTCCAGTTCCGCTTGATAATGCCCACCACTCGGCCTGTCGGACGCAGCATTCTGTTGCTCGCAGAACTTTTCAGCTAGATTTTTTTTTTTAAGAAGACAAAGGCATCAAAAACCACCTGAATCTAATGCAGGCCGACCAAGTAACACAACTGCTCATGCTTTGCAAGAAGAACTGTCACGTTCCTGGCCTCAAACGGTTTATGACATCACAAGGTGCTTTGCATAAATCTCACTTTGAGCTTGCGGAGTAGAATTCTATCACTGTCCAATCCTGATCAGGGACAGCTGTGTGCACTCCGCAAGTGGGGCACAGGATTTGGTAACAGGCAAGTGAAGAACCTCAGGTGCCCTGGAGGATGCTTTCCCTCTTCCTGCTGCTACCAAGGGCAGAGTAACGGATGCAAAATAGTACCAAAAAAACCCAAGTTCTGTATCGACAAAAGTTGAGTTCTGCAACTACACAACTGCAGAGATTAAATACACCTGCATGGATATTTCTCATTTAGCCTTCTACCTGTGCCTCAACCGTGGGGCTGCGGTGGCTCAGAGGTTAAAATGCTGAGCTGCAGACCGGAAGGTCGGTAGTTTGGCAGTTCGAGACCCGAGTGTGCCGCATGACAGAGTGAGCTCCCGTCTCTGGCCCCAGCTCCTGCCAACCTAGCAGTTTGAAAGCAAGGAATTGCAAGTCGATAAAGAGGGACCGCTTCGGTGGGAAGGTGACAGCGTCAAAACCTTATACTCCCCCCACCCCCCAAATCTTGTTGGTGCTACTGGGCTCTGATCTAGTTCTACTGCAAACCAACATGTCCATCCACCGAAACTGCCTTTAGATCTGGAGAATTCATTAAGCCACGCTCATACTTGAGACTCTATGGCCCTAAAAGGCTAGAAACGTGCATTCAAGAATGAAAATGGAGATTCGTGCAATTGCAAAATCTAGAAAAAAAAATGATATTTTTTTCTGCACTTGCATTAAAGGATGGAATATGCACCGCCAACTAATAATGGATCAGTAAATAAAGCTGATATGGGCAAATCTGGTTGAAAGACTGGGATGGGCAAATACAGGAAACACATTTGTTGTGTTCATATCATACACTGTTTTCTTTCTCCTCTTCTTGCTCCACGTCGTCTTCATTCGGATTCGCATCATCGAGCAAAACCACGGAGGACGGCGCGCCCCAGGCATCTTTTGGCAAGAGTTCCACTGCCACTATATCTTCGTGCACAGCTCGGTTTAAGTTTCTAAGCCCTTGTATTATTACCTGTTAACGCAAAAGCAAACAAAGGTTGAAAAACAGCATTAATGAAACTAGAGAACCCATAAAACAAAGTGATGCAATTGAAAGGGAAATCCCAGACTTCAAGCTCAGTTAACTGTGGCCCTAGAAATGCTATTTCTCAAAGAAAAAAAATACAGGGCTCCCCAAAAAGGACAAAAATAATGAAGGGAAATGTGCAAAAGCTTGTTGATTTTTGTAGACTGTCCATTCCAATATCGGTCATAAGAACATCAGAAGCGCCCTGCTGGATCAGACCAATGGGCCATCTAGTCCAGCATCCTGCCTCACACAGTGGCCAACCAGCTCCTCTGGATGGCCAACAACAGGACACAGAGGCCGAGGTCTTCCCTTGGCTTTGGGATTCAGAGGATTAGTGCCTCTGAATGTGGAGGTTCCTCTCAAACACCATGGCTAGTAGCCATTGCTAGACTTATCCTCCATGAATCTATCTAATTCCCTTTTAAAGCTGTTTATTTCTGCTAGACTGTCCCAAGGACCTAGTACAGATGCAACCTGTAAGCACAGCAAACGCTAACAGTGTTTTGTTGCTTTACACCTAAGGAAGATCCCATGTGTGCGGCAAACCTTTGTTTTAGCTTGCTGAACTATCTGGTGGACACGTGTAACTGCTTGCCACCTCGCAGGAAGAGGCAGGAAAACTATCTTAATTATGCCTCACTCATAATACTGCCAACCTAGCAGTTCACAAGCAAGAAATTGCAAGTAGATAAATAGGTACCACTTCGGTGGGAAGGTAACAGCGTTCCGTGCGCCTTGGTGTTTAGCCATGCCTGCCACGACCATGGAAACGTCTTCGGACAGCGCTGGCTCTTCGGCTTTGAAACGGAGATGAGCACCGCAACCCTAGAGTGGGATTCGACTGGCTTTCGAGCAAGGGAAACCTTTACCTTTACCTTTTTACCAAACTATGGATTCAAGCAAATCATGGTCACTCAGAGGCAGCCTGCCTGTACCAAGAAAAGGCCAGGAAGCAAGACATTGCTCTTCCTTGTTTCCAAAGCCACACAAATCCTCTGCCGCTCTTCTGGGCCTCAACAATTTAAAATGCCCATTAGGACAAGGGCACAACTTTCCCCAACGAAGGACTGCACACACAAAAAGCATCCATCAAAACCAACCTCTCTCTGTTCTCCGTCTCCGTGAACCCAAACGGTGGCTTCCAGGTAATTATCCCTGTTGGCTCGGAAGGTTCCCTGAAGGTAAAGGTTGGACTTTATACCTTGCTGCAGTTTGCTGAGGGGGAGATGCTCTGCGAAAATGATCCTCCCGGTTTCGATTTCATTCTGTAAGAGCCAGACGCGCACGTAAGGGACAGTTCACCACATTACCACTCCTGGTAACCAACTCCAAGTAAAGCATTCGGGTGCAAGATCGTCTAACAATAAAATGTTATAGACAGGGCTTGTTTTGTAGAAAAAGCCCACCAGGAACTCATTAGCATATTAGGCCACACCCAACGGCAGAAATACTACACTACTAAACTACAGACATTCACACAGCCTCTCTCCCTCCCCTTCCACCAAGAATGTCAGCGAGGGTGAGCGACAAGCAGGACGGCCGGATACATGTGCCCTGGCCGATGAAGCGAGGGAAGTGAAGGGGAACGGGTGCAGGGTACATGAAACAGGGGGCTAATGGTTTAAGTACAGAGAATACAGCAAAAGGCAAACCCAAGACTGAAACAGAGTCGATCTGCAAGTTCCCGTCCACTAAATCCGTGTCACACTCTATACCAGGGCTATTTTGGGGCAGGAACACACAGGAACGGAGTTCCGGCTGGCTCCCAAGTTGGCCACGCCCAGCAGGGATGCATTAGCATAATAGGCCACACCCAACAGCAGAAACTCATTAGGAGTGGCTACATTAGGGGCGTGTGGCCTAACATGCAAAGGAGTTCCTGCTACAAAAAAGGCCCTGGGTTTTGACAAAAAACAAGGTAAACAGAATAACAAGCAAAAGGTGGGTGTGGCTGGATGACCACACTTCTGGTAACGTGGGGGTGCGGCCTAATGTGCTAATGAGCTGTGCTGTCAGGGGTGTGGCCCAATATGCTAATGAGTTCCTGCTGTTGGGTGTGGCCTAGTATGCTAATGAGTTCCTGCTGGGCTTTTTCTACAAAAAGAGCCCTGCAAGGGTATATAAGATTACCATACGCTTTGTTCAGGGAGACCCTCCTTCAGCCTCTGGATCGTTGGGTGCTCTCCTTTGCAACTGCAAATAAACCTTCCCCCCCCCCCTTTTGCATTTTATAAACTGCCTCTGTGTAAATTTATGGTCGACCCCCAGTCATAACAGGGAGGCTGATTCCCCAACACCAGATAATGTGGGATGGAGCATTGGCTTATGTAACTACTTCAACCACAGAGGAAAACACAAATGCATCATGTTTCCAAAGAACAAAATGTCTAAAATCCTATCATAGCAACAGGAAAGAACCAAAAACAGAACTAAGCTTCATCTTTAGAAGAAACGTTTGAACAGCAGCAACACACCAGAGAATTCCCAAGTAGATATTCATCTCTGACCAATGATTCTTACAACTAACACATGGACAATTTGCTGTTTATGACTCCAGTTGCAAAAGCAGTAAAGACAATAAATAAATAACACACGGACAAATGAAGCTGCCTCGTGCTCCGCCAGAGCCTTGGTCCATCACGGTCAGCACTGTCTATTCAGATTGAGAGCTGCTCTCCAGGGTCCCAGGCAGAGAAAGGTCTTTCACATTACCTACTGCCACCAGATTCTTTTAACTGGAGATGCTGGAGATTGAACCTGGGACCTTCTGCATGCCAAGCAGACGTCTACCCACGTTTCATACTACTCAGGCAGCATGAAAAGGATCCCCTTATCCTGAACACAATCATATGGAAGCAAACCCCTCCAGTTTAAAATTGTGCTTGCTTCCAAGTAGCGATGGGCAAACTTTCCAATGCCATTACAAGCGCCATGAACAATTGCTTAAAAAGAAAAAGAAGGAAGCTTGATTGTCAGCAAAAGGGCTAAACCGATCCACGTGAGACTCTCCCCATGCACAGACACTCGTTGTAGCTCCAAAAGAGCTCAGCGAATGCCCAAAAGGTGGATTTTCAAAGGTGTGCGCTAAGGAGGGTCAAGAATGCTCTGATGTCTTAGGGGGGAAAGCTGTGCGATCCCTGCGCTTCTCTGACCAACCTGCAGAGACATTCTAAACCACCACAACGAATGGTTTGTGCAAAGGCTTTATTGTTCCTCTGCTATTTCTCCTCTCGCTTTTAATTTGCTTTTTGCACTAATGGTAAGCCAAAAAAAAGAAATTCTCAGTGTAAAAAGCATTTGTATTCAAGCCACTTGTGCTTTGAAAATGTATGTCACAGGGAGACTTTGGCGAGCAATTCTTTCCATGATCAAGAACATAGCTCTTCGAAGCCGTAGTGTTAACTGCATTTTCTTAGTGCAAGCACATTTTGTACAGCAGCTCTGACAAAGTGTGCAGGGGGCTCCCCTTCAGTTAGAATTGGCTGATTCAAATAAAGGCTACGATTAAAGGGGGAGCAGAGAGAATAATATAAATCCTTGCCATCCACAGTTGGTAACTGAGTTTTCCAGTTCGGTCACAGACCTCTTTTCCCCCAGGTAGTCCTGGGTTCAGTTGCGCACCATCCAGTAACACTAAACCACAGAATTCTGTGCACTTAATTAGTTCTGTCGGAGTTAATATAAGAAACAGATAAACATGTACAGTCTCATTTTACACTGGGAGCTAATTCAGAGCTTTTAAGAAACCATTCACATCCTGGAGATTTTGAATGATAAATCTGAAACGTACCCCTTCATCATTTAAGGAAGCGAGTCGATCCACAAGTTCCGGATTTGCTATCAAGCTCTTTATATATTCCTCACCTACCAAAAAAAAAAAAAAATCATCACATAGATAGAAGTGTTCTGTAACAAAAATGTAAGCCAAGCATCTATCATCTAAATAGCATTTCACAGTTTTTTAATGAAATTTTCCAGCTTGGATCATAAGTCTCACATGTATAGGCGGTGATTCCTTCTTCCACAGCGCGCTCTTTGTTTTTTCTGTCGTTTGTGAGCAAGATGACTTGTATTTTCTCTTCCGTTTGCAACTTCCGCAAGTGCTCATTGTACCATTTCACCGCTATTCTGATGGCTCGGTCGTTGCGGTCATTGGGATTTTCACCTTGTTCTTGTTCGATGTACGTGTCTCTGGAAACAAACATCAGAAAAGGAAATGGACACATTCAGTGGCGTTATAAATGCATCACTTTTGGGGTGAGAAGCTACAAGGTTCTCTCCTGCGTGTGTTCCAATTAAAACACACCCACCCAAGGATACTCAGGTGTGGCTATTCTGAAATTTTCTGGAAGACTTTCAGAATTTGATGGGTTCCAGGACGGCCACATAGGCTCTGCAATGGAGCTCAGAATGGAGGGGCATGCCATACCACATGTGTATGGGGGCCACCCAATGAGTCACAAGGCCAACGACAATGAGCAGGCACCACTAAGCTTCCATGTACCTGCACAATAACCCGCATTATGTATTTGATGGGTCAGTTATACACTAAAGACTTACACTCAGCATAAATTTCAGGTGCAGCGGAATCTCTACATTAGCAATTTGGGTGCCCTGACCTGGATAGCCCAGGCAAGCCCGATCTCATCAGATCTCGGAAGCTAAGCAAGGCCGACCCTGGCGAGTACTTGGATGGGAGACTTCCTTGGAATACCAGGGCCGGGACGCAGAGGCAGACAATAGCAAGCCATGTCTCTGAAAACGTCCAAACCCTCCTGGTGGGTCACCAGAAGTCAACCATGACTTCTGGGCACACACACATAAAATACCAAAAAATAAAAATACATGCGCAATTTGGGCATATTTTCTAAACCAAGTCCAATAATGACAGCTGAAGACCCACATCTCTGCTCCGACGTTTCCCCATCAAACACACATAAAATACCAAAAAATAAAAATACATGCGCAATATGGGCATATTTTTTAAACCAAATCCAGTAATGACAGCTGAAGACCCACATCTCTGCTCAGACGTTTTCTATTCTGCTTTCCTAGTTCTTCAATCCAAAACTCCCCTTTTAAATGGTGAACTGGTAGGCAGTACTTCTTTACCCAGAGTAATTAACACATGGAATTCACTGCTGCTAGAAGTGATGGCGGCTACAAGCATGGACAGCTTCAAGAGGGGACTGGAGAAATATAAGGAGCAGAGGTTCATCAGCAGCTATTAGCTTCAAGGTCTAGATGGAAGACTCTGTCTGAAGCAGCGATGGTCTGTATTCTTGGTGCTTGGGGGGCAACAGTGGGAGGTGCTTATGGAATTCTGGTCCTGCTGGTGGACTTCCTGATAGCACATGGGTTTTGGCCTCCGTGTGACACATGAATGTTGGACTGGATGGGCCATTGGCCTGATCCAACATGGCTTCTCTTACGTTCTTAACCTGCCTTCCCTTTTCCCCCCAATGTAAGACTCTTAGGTTGCAATCCTAAAGACACTTTCCTGTGAGTAAACCGTATTCAACAACTTTTAATTGACCTGTTTAGGATGTTCCCTTAGGATGTTTCTAAAGTTCTGCTTTGAGACTGGGTAGGCAGGGAAAACCTATGGTCATTTAGCCAACTGATCAAATACCTTTAAAAGGTTGGCATACTGATATGACCCATTTTCCTCAGTGAATACTGTTACTGCACCATGCTATTCAATCATATTCCCTTCTAATGAAGCTGTGTCGAGAAAACATTATTAGATTTTAACTAACTGTTACAGCACCTAAAAAATGCTGAGTTTATCTGTTAGCTTTAAATAGATGTTAGAAATTGAAGGGAGATTTGCTGCCAATGCATACTTACTTATGATGTTCATTAGTGAAAGAATAAAAATGTTTTTCCTTGTTAGTAATGACATCTTTTATTCGCTTGTATACCGGTGCACTCCGACCCCTTACTTCCTGCAGAACTGTCTGAAGAATAATCACGTTTCTAATCACGGGATCCTCAAGTATATCGATCTAGAAAGAAAATAATGGCTTGTGAGAAGATCATACACTGTTCAACAGGGAAAAGCAGGCATACCTCATTTTCAGGGAAGAAAACCCCTTCACCCCAGTCATTCTTGCAAGAAAATTACACTGCAAGCAGTGGAATTTACTTCCATGTATATGGGATTGGAGGGAGCTGCGGTGGCTCAAGTGGCTAAGACGCTGAACTGCAGGCTGTGGAAGGTCAGTAGTTCAGCAGTTTTTTTTAAAAAAAAAAATATATGAAAAATTTACATTAAAAATAACTTCAACAATCCCCCGGGTTCCCCTCACCCCCCATAATTAAAAAAAGGTTCATATAAGCTACTTTATAAAACAACAAGGATTTAACTGAATAAATTACTATAACTACACTCCACAGAACAGACTGTAGACCTAACATGAGGCTAATCAGAGATTTATCAGGCCCAAATTATCGACCGTAGCAGGAATCACAGCTTGCGACTTCAGGTAGTCTAGGATTGGTGCCCAAGTATGAAACAGTCGTGATTTATAGGTGGTATGTGTTTCTCGTAGGATTTTATCAGTCAATTTAGCAATTATAGTAGTTCAGCAGTTCGAGACCCGGGTTGCCGCATGACGGAGTGAGCTCCCGTCTCCAGTTCCAGCTCCTGCCAACCTGGCAGTTCGAAAGCAAGAAATTGCAAGTAGATAAATAGGTACCACTTCGGTGGGAAGGGAACAGCGTTCCGTGCGCCTTGGTGTTTAGTCACGCCGGCCACATGACCATGGGAACGTCTTCGGACAGCGCTGGCTCTCCGGCTTTGAAACGGAGATGAGCACCGCAACCCTAGAGTCGGACCCGACTGGCTTTCGAGCCAGGGAGACCTTTACCTTTTTATATGGGATTAGGATCAGATTTATCACTTGTCAAAAAACAGGGCAATGTCCACCCCATAACTACATGCCCTGTGCGTGTATTCTAGTAACAATAATTCTAATATTCTAATTCTGTTCTTCTTGTGTGTGTGGGTGGGTGTGTCCCCGAGGCTTCCTCCCCGCCCCCCGCCCCCGATGCGCGTACCTGGTGCAGCAAGAGGTTGGTGTCCGGCAGCAGGTAGTGGGGCTCAGGGCAGAGGCTGCTGGCGGCGCCGCCGGGCTGGGCTTCCAGGAAGGGCCGGCCGGCGCCGCGCTGTTCCTCCTCCTCCGCCTCCTGGTCCCCGCCGCAGAGCGGGCAGGCGGCCACGCCGCAGGAGATGTCGTCGCGCAGGTAGTGCTCGCGGACGATCTTCCGCACGGCGCCGGCCCGCGTCCGCTTCAGGAAGGTGCGCGAGGTCAGCATCGTTGCGCTCCCCGCCGCCACTCAGGAGGCGCCCGACGCGCAACAGGGCCCCCACCATGCACCGCGGCCGCCGGCGCGTTCGGTGAGGGGAAGGCCGCGCCGGCCGCCGTAGAGGAAGGGGGGGGGCAGAGAATCGCTTCGCACGTCGGATGACTCCCCGGAAGCGCCCAGTCGGCTTCTGTAGAGGGAGAAAAGTGTGCCCCCCTCTCGCTTTGGTTTAAACTTCCGGTTCCCCAGCGTACGCCGCGCCATCTGAGGGGCCGGCGACAATGAGAGGGGGAGTTGGGGTTTTTTCTTCCTCCTCTTCAGTGTTCGCCTCGAAGTTTCCTCGCATGCTCCGTGCGGATGCATGCTTTTGTGCACATGGACGTTTTGGATTAAATCGCCTCTTTCAAAAGTCTGCGGTTGTCGCTGTTTTTTGTGCACACGTATGAGGGGGGGGAGGATTGGTCACGGCATTAAACCGAACGGCCTGCCTTCCCTGCATTTTGGGCCGATGCGGCGGTGAAAGCGGGACTCCACCCAATGCCGCGAACGGAGAAGCCACTACGGGCGTAGGCGGCTTTGGGTTGGGTGCCGGAAGTTTACGGCTTTCTTTTCCCCCTACCTCTATAGTCACGTCATGCCCCCTCCCCTTCCCGGCAGCCCGTGCGAAAGGGCGGGAGAACGGGAAGAGAAGCGTCGCGGGCAGCGTCCCCGTCTGCGGCGTCGCTTTCGTTGCTATGGTAACGGAATTCCTTCGCTGAGAGCGTCGACGGCGGGGGAGACTCGCGCATGCGCGGCTGCCAGCTTGAGGCTCCTGTGGTCGGAGGGGGCGTCTGAGGTGGGTTGGAGAAGTCCTCTTGGGGGGGGGGGGGGCAGGCGGAGAAACGGGTTGAGCCACCGGGACCCCCACCCTCTCCAATTCCCTTCTGCTTGGCATCCCTCGTTGCCCTGGTTATTGCTCGGACTGAAAGGCTGGAGTAGGAAAACACAGCCGTGTCTCCCCAAATGCAAGATCCAGGTGGGTCGCCGTGTTGGTCTGAAGCAGTGGGGCAAAGTTGGGAGTCCCGTGGCACCTTGGAGACCAGGCCAGGAAGGGTTTATTCTGGGTCTCAGTATTCGTGTGCATGCATGTGTGTATCTGAAGAAGCACCGCATGCACCGGGAAAGCTTGTACCTTGAATAAAACTTTGCTGGTCTTATAAGGTGCCGCCGGACTCAAACTTTGTTCTACTCAAATGCAATATTGAGCTTTCCCCCCCCATAAAAGAGAGAGTCTTTCTGCATTTGCATACAAATTACAGTTATGTCCAGTAATAATTATTTCTGTTTGAGTCCAGTGGTACCTTTAAGACCAACAAGGTTTAATTCTAGGCATAAGCTTTCCTGTGCATGTGCACATACATTTGTCACTGTATCTGATGGAGTGTGCATGCACATCAACACTTATCCCCAGAATTAAGCTTTGTTGGTCTTAAAGGTGCCACTGGACTCAAACTTTGTTCTACTCAAATGCAATATTGAGCTTTTCCCCCCCCATAAAAGAGAGAGTCTTTCTGCATTTGCATACAAATTACAGTTATGTCCAGTAATAATTATTTCTGTTTGAGTCCAGTGGTACCTTTAAGACCAACAAGGTTTAATTCTAGGCATAAGCTTTCCTGTGCATGTGCACATACATTTGTCACTGTATCTGATGGAGTGTGCATGCACATCAACACTTATCCCCAGAATTAAGCTTTGTTGGTCTTAAAGGTGCCACTGGACTCAAACTTTGTTCTGTTGCTTCAGTCTAACATGGCTACCCACCTGAATTTCGTGTATAATATTTTTACAGGGGTTGTCTTAAATTCCTTTGTCTTCCTTCTGAGTAAATAGAGTATAATTTTGGACTCAGTGTTTGTAAAAGTAGCCGTGTCTGTCTGTCAGCAAAATTAAAACAAGGCTGTTGTGTTCCCTTAGCACAATTTTTACTCCTGCACAAGCTGTTGTAGACTAGCGCCGGCTTCTTCAGATTCAGTGAGGATCTTCAGTAAGCAGGCAGCATTATAGGATGCTGGAAAAAAAATTAAAACGCTTGTACCACTTCTTTTGCAAAAAAAAAATTAAAGCAGGAAGTGCCTCTTCTGTGTTACAGGTGTTAATTGCCCCAGTGTTGCCTTTGTTAACTGTCTCTTGTATCTGCTGATCTCCCTGCGCTAGACTTTAGATTTTTAATACACACACACTCCCATGATGAGTGAAATGATTGATCTTTGGAGTTTGTTTTGAACCAGCTTCTATAGTTGCCAACTTTGGGTTGGGAAACCCATGGAGATTTTGGGAGCGGAGTCCGGAAGGTCAAGGTTTGGGGGGTGGGGAGACCTCAGCCAGGTATAATGCCATACAGTCCACACTCCAAAGCAGCCATTTTCTCCGGGGGAAGTGTTCTCTGTCGTCTGGAAAGCGGTTATAATTCCCGAGCGATCTCCAGGCGCCATTTGGGGATTGACAGCCCTGGCTCTGACTAATGAAACCTTATGCGAGAATAAACTTTGTAAGTCTTGCCGGAGCTGCCAGACTCTTGTTTCATTTAGATGTTAATGCAGTCTCCCTACGTTTACTAAGGTAGTTATCATCGATTACTGCAGTTATGAATTGTATTTCTTTTCACTGCATTTGAATTTTGCCAAAGGAATTTGGGTGACATTGGTGGTTTAAGTTGCAATGTGAACCTTAAAGGAGTTATGGGGTGGTTGTGAATGGTTGTGTGAGTATATGAGTATGGTTGCAGATCACCGAATGATTGCACCTTTAATTTCGTTGTACTATGTACAATGACAATAAAGTATATTATTATTGTTGTTGTTGTTTTGTTGTTGTTGTTGTTATTAAAAAACAGAAATTGCAGTCCAGGAATATGAGCATTGAGACTGAGGATAGAAATTTTTTTTTTCTTTTGTTTGTGTGTGTGTGAGTATGTGTACACCTGGAAGTCATGGCGACCTCTGGTGACTGACCCCTACTGGGGGCCTTTCAGATATTCAGAGAGGTGGCTGAATAAATCCCACTCCCACCTCTGGTATTTCAAGGAGGTATCCAAATACTTGCCAGAGTTGACCCTGCTTATCTTCCAAGGTCTGATGAGATTGGGCTAGCCTGGGCTATCCAGGTCAGGGCAAAAATATATTTTCTTAGTGTATGAAGCTTTTGGAATGCATTAGTTTAAAAGGAGAAAAGCGGAAACCGGCCTTAGATGGAAGAATTAGAAACTATAATGAGAGATGTGTTTCGTGGTACGGGGCTGGCTGCCCAGTGAATATTTGGCAAATACTAGCCAATACCCTCAGTGTTGGCATCCCAGCACGTAGTCTCAGATTTTCAGTACGCACGTTTTGGAGACCTCTTGCACAGTACTAGCCTGGATAGTTGAAGCTTTCAGTTTTGAATTAAGTTGTATGCTTCTCATGTTTCAGACTGCAAACAAGGCATGATGAAATATTATGCAAAGATTATTCTGTTTATACCAGCTCCCCTTATTTTTCCAAGTGCCCGAACTGCATCCTGAAAAATCTTTAAACACCAGCACAAGAATGTCACGGAAGAATTCCAGAGAAACTAAAAAAGTCAATGTTTCCAGTTCCTTGGAGTCTGAAGATATTAGTTTGGAGACGACACTGCCGACTGATGATATCTCCTCCTCGGAAGAACGGGAGGGGACCATCAAAATTACCCGGCAGCTGATAGAACGGAAGGAGCTGCTTCATCATCTCCAGTTGCTGAAAATAGAGCTTTCCCAGAAGAAATTGATGGTAGACAACATGAAAGTGGAGTACCTGACAAAAGTAAGGGCTCTTCTTGTGACTGTGACGGTACATGTTAAAAGCGCTCCAGGGCTGCAGTAGCAAAGCAGCTATTGGTAGCCTGCTAGCTGGTTAGCATTCACAGCTATAAGTGATTTGTCATTTCTGCAGTGTAGTCCAGTACCCATATTCAGGGCTATTTTGGGGCAGGAACACACAGGAACGGAGTTCTGGCTGGCTTCTGAGTTGGCCACGCCCAGCAGGAACTCATTAGCATAATAGGCCACACCTAACAGCAGACACTCATTAGGATTGGCTACATTAGGGGTGTGTGGCCTAACATGCAAAGAAGTTCCTGCTACAAAAAAAGCCCAGGGTTTTGACAACAAAGTAAACAGAATAAGAAGCAAAAGATGGGTGTGGTTGGATGACCACACTTCTGGTAACATGTGGGGTGTGGCCTAATATGAGCTGTGCTGTCAGGGGTGTGGCCTAATATGTTAATGGGTTTCTGCTGTTGGGTGTGGCCTATTATGCTAATGAGTTCCTGCTTGGCTTTTTCTACAAAAAAAGCCCTGCCAATATTCATTTTTCAGTTCAGATGTGACTTTGCTGCGATCAAGGATATAAAAAGATTTTTCTTTAGATTATTGGAATTAGGGGAAAACAAGATGGGAGCCAGGGAGGAACCACGTGAGTGGGGAATAATTTGGAACTCATTCCCAACCCTCACGATTTATTCCTCTTTTCACGGCCTTCATAAGACTGATTCTTCTCACCCACCCATTTTCAAACTGTATCACAGCATCCCATCTCTAACTGAGTATTTTTTTACTCTTGTCAGACCAGTTTAATTTTCAAGGTTAACTTAGTTTACCAAGTCATATTTTCCCACATATCCCAGCCAGTGTTCCCTCTAAGCTGAGTTAGTGTGAGCTAGCTCATTTTTTTAGCCTCCGGCTCACACATTTTTGTCTTAGTTCAGGAAGGATGGCTTCAGAGCAAGCTAATTTAATGCAGTAGCCAAATCGATCGCTCACAACTTTAATGCCAGTAGCTCACAAAGCAGAATTTTTGCTCACAGGACTCCACAGCTTAGAGGGAGCATTGATCCCAACTATGTAGAAACTCCTGCAATGTTTGTGGACACCTCTGTTCTCCTAGTTTCGTTATCCCTATTGAGACCAGTCAGCAGAGTGTTTAGATAGAGAAATCTCCCTCTTTTACAATACATGCAACATGGATTAGAGAATTTCAGGGAAGGCAGTATTCTGAGGTCCTTATTCAGAATTGGTTGCTCATGTTTTAAGGGAGGTATTACTTTTATTCTGTACTAAACTGCTTTTTTTTAAACTATCTGTCTTAAATATAATTACATGGAAATGGTTTCTGTTCATGTCAATGGGACTTAATTCCAGGTAAATGTTTTCATAACTGGACTGCCAGGGCCATTTAAGTGGGTTTAGAGTAGAGCAACTCTGCATGGGATTTCACTGTAAGTCAGTCTTATTATAGGTACTGTTGTGGTTTCGACATGGAAATATCGCTTCGGGAACTATTGGCTCAGTGTTATCTGTAGGTAGTACTGAGCAAGAGATGTTTTCCGAACAGAAACCAAATGGACTGCATTTTAAAAATTCCTCATTGGTTCTGTGCTGCTGAGGAAGACCTGAACTTGTGCTTCTCTGAAAGGGGTTTCCCTCCCACAGGGCAAACCTCATTGAAACTAACAATGTTTCCAAAGTAGCATATAATGTTTCGTTTTTCTTTACAAAATTTATATGCCACCTTTCTGCCTAGGCAGGAGTGGTATGGATATCTGTTGACTGAAGTCGTAAGTTCCACCAGGGAAAGCCTAAAGTCTTTGTTGTACCTAAAAAAAGCTACTTGGCTCTCAGCTGGTAATATTATGTGGCTTCCACAGGGCAGCTCAGCAGTAGGCTGAAGTATTTACAGTGTCAAAGCTAAGGCAGATAAAAGCAAAGACATATATATCAGGAGAATCACAGAACTGTGGGCTCCACCGAATTCTCTTCAATAAATTCTGCTTTGTTTTCTATTGTTTAATTTCTTGCTTTTAGATTGAAGAACTAGAAGAAAGACTTAATGATGCTCTCCATGAAAAGCAGCTGCTATCTTTGCGACTAGATAACCAACTGGCATTACAGCAGGAAGATGCTCGGTATGAAAAGAAAGGAATTGGGATTGATGTATTCTGAATCCGGAAGTAGAGATAAAGTATAATAGGCTATCAGTCCCTTGTGCAAACTTTGGAATAGGTCATGTGCTTGTATTTCAAATCATAACTTAAGAGCTGCAGATATTTGAATAGGTTCTGGTGTACGCATGGGTGCTTATGCTGAGGCCAATAAAACATATTATGGGATCAAACATATGATATAGGAACTTGAACCTGTGATGTTTTTGACAGGATGTTTTATAGTTAGTGTAATCACAATACTGAATTACTCATAGTAAGCTCTAGGTTTTAATTCACCTTCTAGGCAATTTTAGGTTACCCAGAGTCTTTGAAACCTGAAAGAATAAAAACATGCAGTTATGTCAGATGTGATTCTGAGCAGTGATTTGGCATTGTGCTTTTTGGGTAATTATCCCTAGGAATTGTGTGAGAAAGTGCATACATGTTTAATTGATTTATAAACTGGGGTATGGGATACAAAGCAGCAGCAGCTAGCAGCCAATGTTGATGCAGTATGTTAACTGGGGGTCCCTTGGCCGCCTTTGGATTCGGTACTTGGCAACTTCACCTGATTCTCCCATGCTGATGTAGACAGGACCTTGGGTGCTGTTAGGCCAACTACATGCCTCTTAGATCTGTGTCCCTCGTCGCTGGTGAAAGTCAGCAATGAGAGGATATGGGGCCCGATGACAGACGTTATCAATCTGACCCTGGAGATGGGGGGCCTATCCAGAGGGTCTGAAAGAGGCTCTTGAAAAAAAACGACTTTTGATCCTGCTGATCCTTCCAATTACCACCCAGTTTCCAGATTATTGTTTCTGGGGTAAGGTAATTGAGAGAGCGGTAGCCAAGCAGCTAAAGAGTTTCCTGGATGATACATTGGCATTGGACCCATTCCAGTTTGGTTTTTGCCCGGCCACGGGACAGAGACGGTGTTGGTCACCCTGACAGACAGATGAGCTCCGCAGACAGCTGGATCGAGGTGGCTTAGCGCTGCGACTGTTACTCCATCTCACAGCATCGTTTGACACGGTCGATTACGATCTTTTGACCCACCACCCTGCCAACAGGGAAGTTCGTGGAGCAACCCTGAAATGGCTTTCCTCATTACTCCTTGGTTGGGGAGAGAGGGTAGCCCCCAAATATGTGGGGTTTCTCAGGGGTTACGTTCAGAAATCTGTTGTAAAGTTTACCCGTTCCGTAGGAAACATCAGGAATTAATGAAACAAGAGATGGAAACCATCTTGCTGCATCAGAAGCAACTAGAGGAGACCAATCATCAGTTACGAGAGCGGGCAGGAGACATCCGTCGCAACTTACGTGACCTTGAACTGACTGAGGAACACTATTCCAGACTCAAATCCCTTCCTGAGGATGAACTTTCACTTCCTGAATATGTGTCCGTAAGTACTGTAGTCGCGATGCGATTACTAATTTGAATAATTCATGAAAGGCATAAATCGATAGAGAAAATTGCTTAATAAATTCGGTGAAAGGAGCGACTGTAGCAAACTCTTGGATGCGAGGCAGAGTAATCCTGCTTTCTGGGATAGTACCGCAGGCGTCCGTGGTTTCTGGATCAATGTGATGATGTAATGGTCATACTTTAAAAAAAAAAAAACTTAACATGTTTTCAGATGAGCAAGTAACCCTGATTTCCTCAGTCTTTTATAGCACAATTGTAAGAAGAGGTATATCTTTCTAGGCATGTTGACTTAAAAGTGTATAACTCTGTTTAGGATGGCACTGTTAGTATCTGTTAAATGCCAGGCTGTAGTAGGCAACTGAGTCTGTGAGCGGCTTCACTTTATAAGATGGTCTGTGTTATATTTTGGTGGGTGGCCGTGTTGGTCCGAAGCAATAGAACAAAGTTTGAGTCCGGTGGCACCTTTAAGACCACCAAAGTTTAATTCTGGGTACAAGCCTTCGTGTGCAGATACCCGATGAATTTGAAGAAGTGTGCATGCACACGAAAGCCTATACCCAGAATTAAACTTTGTTGGTCTTAAAGGTGCCTAATGTATTTATAACTATTGCTGGTTGTTGTTATATACTAAGCAATCAACTAAGTTAATGTTTCGGGCTTTGCTTGTTATAGCTTTTCAGAATACTGTTGCTATTTGCTTTGTGTTGCATGCTGATTATTGTTTTTTGTTATTGCTTAAATTCTTCTAATAAAAATATATATATTTTAAAAAGCGTCATTGGACTCAGACTTTGTGTTCTGGTAGCAGACTAGCTTTGAAGGCACCATCATTAGAGACGTGTGACCAAATATGCCTTCACATCACGTAACTGGGAAACTGAAATACTGTCTCTGAATTGTGAGCAATCTAATTTGATGGCACTGTACAGTGAACAGCTACCGGAATTATAAAGTGTTCCTTGCTGATGGAGTTGAAAAGAGCAAGAGTCCGGTAGCACCCTAAAGACTAACAAAATCTGTGGCAGGGTAGGAGCTTTCGTGAGTCACTGATCACTTCTTCACTCTGCCACATATTTTGTTAGTCTTTAAGGTGCTACCGGACTCTTGCTTGTTTCTGCTGCTACAGACAGACTAACACAGCGGCCCATCTTGAGCTCGCTGATGGAGAAGGCCTCTTTGAAACCTCTTATAATTTTCATCTTTTAAAAGTACTGCTGCATCTCACAGATGGACATCCACTGGCAATTATGTCTGCAACTTGTAAAACAAGCTAGAAATCCCTAGTTTGGTAATGGAGAAATAATTTTGAAGCTTATTCTTAAATCCTTGATTTTAGGGCTCTAGATAAATGGTGTGCATTTATGTTCTTACTAAAAACACTGAGGAGTTTAAAGGCGTGAAAACACTGCCCCTGCCAGTCAGTGTTAGTGTTTCTAAATACAATGTGATATGGTTAAACCATCAGACTAGAATCTGGGCAGTCTGGGATCGAATTGCCCTCTGGCTTGCTGGATGACCTTGGACTGCCCACTTAACCTAAACCTGAACTACCTTTCAGGGTTGTTGCGGGGATAAAATGGAGGAGTGCAGAAAAGGGTAAAGGTAAAGGTTCCCTTGCTCGAAAGCCAGTCGAATCCGACTCTAGGGTTGCGGTGCTCATCTCCGTTTCAAAGCCGAAGAGCCAGTGCTGTCCGAAGACGTTTCCATGGTCATGTGGCCAGCATGACTAAACACCAAGGCGCACGGAACGCTGTTACCTTCCCACTGAAGTGGTACCTATTTATCTACTTGCAATTTCTTGCTTTCAAACTGCTAGGTTGGCAGGAGCTGGAACTAGAGACGGGAGCCCACTCCGTAATGCGTCATAAGATAGGATAAAAATGTACGATATAAATTAAAAGTTCAGTTCCCTAACTTCTGTTTTATAATATGGTGGTAGGTTACCTGTTCAGTAGTTCTTCTGTATTTGAGATTTTTGTGTTCCTGGCAGGTCTTCAATGGCCTATTTCATGGGTGCCTTATTTTTTAACAACTGCATTTGTGTAGACACCTAGCTTTTAAAAAGACAAACCAGTGCCTAAAAGCTCACAATTTAAGTGAAGACAGGGCTCAAGAAGGGCAAGACAGGCAGAAAGGTGTGGAATGCTCGTCATTGCTTGCCGTGAAGAATTATAACATCGTTTGCCTTTACTTGTGTTTTGCAGACTAGATTCCACGAGGCAGTGCATCCCTTAAAAAAAGAACTAAATGAGCTGCAGGTGAAAAGGGAGCTGTTAACAGAAGAACTGAACGATTGCAAATCTCAGCTGAAAAATCTGATGGAGGTTTGTTTGTCAATATGAGTTTTCAAAGGTGTTTCAAGGGAAGTATGATGTATATACCCACTGCAGTTGGTATTCTAGAGCATCACTTCCTGTTAAAGTTAGGAAACACTGCTGCTTCTCTTTTCCTGACCAGCTCCTCAGTTCTTTAGAGACATGTACCACTGAATCTTGCTGTGATTTTGTTTGTTGGTTGGGTCTAGCTGTTTGTACAAGTTATTCTCTCAGAATTACTTACTATAAAATGTCAGGAATTTGGTCTTGGTAGGCAGGTCAGTACATTCGTTATGCCCCTCCTGCTTGTGCTCTGTGTAATGGCTTTTTTGTGCCACATCTAGGCTCGTTTTGTTGTTGTTCAGTCGCACAGTCGAGTCTGACTCTTCGCGACCCCGTGGACTACTTCACGCCAGGCCCTCCTGTCTGCCGTCGTGCTCCGGAGTTTGCTCAACTCCATGTCCGTTGCCTCGATAACACTGTCCAGCCATCTCATCCTTTGCCGTCACCTTCTTCTTTGACCTTCAGTCTTTCCCAGCATCAGGGTCTTCTTCTCCAGTGAGTGCTCCCTTCTCATTGGGTGGCCAGAGTATCTGAGCTTCAGCTTCAGTATCTGGCCTTCCAGGGAACAGTCCGGGTTGATGTCTTTTAGGATTGATCAATTTGATCTCCTTGCAGTCCAAGGGACTCTCGAGTCTTCTCCAACATCATAGTTCAAAAGCATCTATTCTTCGGCGCTCGGCCTTCCTTATAGTCCAACTCTCGCATACATTATCACCCCCCCCCTCGCCTACCCCCCCCCGGGGGGGGGGGGGGGGGGACTAATGGTTTAAATAAGTAAATATATTTTGTCCCTACTTATTTTCTGTTGGATGGCATCCCCATCCTACAGATTAGATATTATGTATAACTAGAGCTCAAGTGAAGCCTAAAAACCAGGCTCTAGTGTGTATGGGTGCTCATGAAACGGAGTGTATATATACATGTTGTTGTTGTTCAGTCGCACAGTCGAGTCCGACTCCTCGCAACCCCATGGACTGCATCACGCCAAGCCCTCCTGTCTTCTGCCATCCTCTGGAATTCGCCCAACTTCATGTTCGTTGCCTTGATAACACTGTCTAACCGTCTCATCCTTTGCTGCCCCCGTCTTCTTTGACCTTCAGTCTTCCCCAGCATCAGGGTCTTCTTCTCCAGTGAGTGCTCCCTTCTCATTTGGTGGCCAGAGTGTCTGAGCTTCAGTATCTGGCCTTCCAGGGAACAGTCAGGGTTGATTTTTTTTTTAGGATTGACTGATTCGATCTCCTTGCAGGCCAGGGGACTCTCAAGAGTCTTCTCCAGCTCGTTAACAAGAGATTAAAAAATAAGGTCAAGGCCAATGGTGCAAAATCAGGTAAAAATGTATTTTATTGGTTAACGTACTTTTGCCTGATTGGCTTTGGCCTTGTTTTTTCTCTGCTCTGACTGATGGTGGCCCTTTTATTTTCTTCTTGGCTAGTTAACAGTACGAGGTTTGATGCAATCCTTTTGCAGTTGTCCTTGTCTCCTAGGCACCTACTGGCTGACACCCGTGCCTAATAGAATTAGACCAGGGTCGTTGAACTCTTTTGTTACGACATAATGAGACCTCGTCAGGCCGGGCCATGTGTGTCATAAAATTTAATGCCAGGTAGCAGAGATATAAACGTTATAAAGGACACACGCTCGCTTAGATCAGAGGGGCTTTCTCGCTGAAGCTCAGTGTTCTGCTTTCAACTCAACTCACAGTTCATTGTTGGTCTCTAGACCCGCTTGAGGTATGTGTAAATTGCCCGATCTTCACAGGCTTGTCCCGGTCAGTGACTCTTAATCCATTCGGCCGCGCAGCGGTAGGACCTTCGAGGCGGAGGGAAGCCTCAATTCCCCGGCATCGAGCTGGTTGAAGAGGCAGTCCCTCAAAAGCCCCCTGGCTAGGAGCCCTGTTCCAGTGGGCTCCGGGGGGCACGACCCCCCCCCCCCCCCCCCCGCCACTGACGTTCAGATCACGACCCTGGGAGCTCACCAGGGTCGCGTCCGCCATCATGCCGCCAAAAACCAGAAGTCCGGGCAAGCCATAGTTCTGTCAGAGCTGTTCTCTCAAGGACAGTTCTGGAAAGAGCTCTCTTAGCCCCACCAACCTCACAGGGTGTCTGTTGAGGGGAGGGGAAGGGATAGGAGTTTGTAAGGGCGGGGTAGAAATCCAATCTCCTCCTCCTCCTCTTCTTCTTCTTCCCCTTCCCTTTAGATGCAAAAATGCTAATTTCCCAAGGTTATGTTTTGATTACTAATGAGTAAGCCACAATAATCTTAATAGACTTTATGCATATCAGAATGTTCTTGGGAGAAAGTACAGGTGTGAAAAATAGCCACGATTCATCAAGTCTCCCTCATTTAATGAATTGCTTCTGGAACGTTCCAGGACCAATTTCTTGATAAAAATAGTCATTTGAAAGCATATAGCCTTACAGGTACCACAGCAGTAGGTGAGAGCATTTCCACAGCCCGAGATACTTCCGTGATGTGCTGTTGACTGGCAGGATCTTGTGAAATTCGCTCTCTTTGTTATGTATTGGAAAGATGCATTAAAATAGCATGTAACAAAAGTAGGGATGGTCTGATAAGACAACTATTAAATACTCCATAGCATTGGTAGACCTTAAAAAGCCATAGAGAATAAAATGCTTTCACTTGGCACCTAACTTTTTTTAAACTTTTGATTTATTGATCGCTTTTTCCCACACACCTGCGGGCTCAGAGTGATTTACAGTTACTCATGACATTTGGACTAACAATATTCGTGGGGGATGGGGAAGACAACATACAGTATTTTAATTACACACACATTGTAGCTGGCCGGAGGCTTCATCTGCGGGCTGCATCAGTCGTGTTCCGATGGCTGTATTCTTGTCGGCTGGCTGATGACGTCAGGGCTTCTTGATGTCGTGCTGCCACACTGCCACCACCTGGCCGACTCGCTCCACTGCAGGAATGCCGAACAGATCTTTTTTCATCTTTTGATTGCTGTGCCACAGAAGTCACACTCGGCAGCTAACCCCTTCACAAAGGGAGAAGTTAAGAAATTATAAGTGCAGTGCCAGGTGAGCTTCTGTAGGGCAGCATCAGTCTTCTAGTTCCACCTTCTGAAACGCTTTAACCAGGTAGAAACAAAACCGCCACGGCTTGATGCCCTTATATTCGGCTTGGCTAACCAAGTCAGGACAAACTGTGCATTTAAGGTGCCGCTGGACGTCTACTTTATTTTGCTACAACACACTAACACAGCTACGCCTTTGCAGTCGTCAGCGGCATCGGACACTTCTGAGAGGTCTCACATTCTTCCTTTCGGCCTTCTGGTGAACGCCGGCAACCTAGTCAGCTTCTGTTGGTGAAAGAAGTCTGAAATTTTGAAATGCATCTAGGTAGTCATGTTAGGCCATAAAGCCTTTAGTTACGTGGGCCGCAAAATCCATTGGAGAGGCAGCAAAATCCATTGTTACATACTGATGTTGCCTTGACCCTGGCGATTTTATTTGACCTCTTAGGACCGAAACTGGAAGGTATACATATTGGCAATATTACTATCTCCAATATATGTAATTGCTTCTGACACAAGGCCAGATACATTTGTGGTTCCGCAAACAAAAAATGTTGTGTGTCATTCAATTCCAGATTGGAACAGTCCATTTTTGGTCTTATGTCAATTACTGCCTTACAAGTGTAACAGAGGCTTAATTCTATGTTGTATTCTGTACTATTTGACCTCTGAAGAAGGCTCTTTTGGGCCGAAATGCGTCAGGTCATATATGGTTCCTTTTGTGCATTTGGCGCTTTGGTTATTTTATGAGGCTTTACTTGGGTTCCTACAAGGTTTTTATATGTTTTTGAAATAATCACGTGTGCTTTTGTCTGTACCTATTGATGTTTTTAACCTTTGGCCCCTTGCTAGTTTTCTAAACTTCCTCTGGAGGTTTTTGGAGGTTTAGCAGCACCTAGAGATGTGAAGGCCCGGGAAAAAACCAGAAAAATTCGGAAAAAACCCAGTTTTTTTCCGTTTTTTTTCCTGAAGCTTTTTTGTTTTTTCCTGAAAAATTGAAAAAAGAAAAGAAAAAAATCGATTATGGAACATTTTATTTTAACATGATTAATAAAATATTTTAAGACAAGGTGTTCAAATATTTTCCAAATCATTTCTAAAATATATATATACTAGCAGTGAAGCGCGTTGTGAAAGCAATACAACGGGATCTAAAAAGATGTGATTTGTAATGAATGCAGAGGCTGGAAGGAGGTAAAGTACCTCCTGGAGATTTGGGGGGTGGATTCTGTAGAGGGCAGCATTGGGCGGGGGGGCGGAAGGACTCAGCAGGTATAATGTCATAGGGTCTACCCCCCAAAGCCATTTTCTCCAGGGGAACTGATCTCTGTCATCTGGCGATCAATTGTAACAGTGGAAGATCTCCAGGTCCCATCTGGAGATTGGCAACCCTAGGGGAAAGTCAGCTGCACAGCAGGGGGTTGAAGAGAATGGTTTGATGGCTGCTGGGCCAAGATTGGCAACAATAGTTCCCCAGGAGCAAATGGCTGGTTTGGAGGGTGGAGTCTATAGCGCTGTACCTGTCTGAGGTCCCCCTCTCCGGGCTCCACTCCTCAAATCTCCAGGAATTTCCATACCTTAAGCTTGCAACTTTATCTCCTCCCCTCTCAGCAGCCTCTTTCTAGGCAAAATTCTGTCTTTCTCATTAGCGGGGGAGCAAAGCAGCTTACTTCATTCTCTTCGGCTTTG